ATGTCCAGATAATGAAACAGTGTGTGACATTGTTCTGGCAGCTGGTGGAGATGGTCAACCTGCACTTTCTGGGACTCATGGAAGCCCTCCAGGAGTGCAACTCTTGTGTCCTAGCCAAGGTAGGTCCTTTTACAGCACAGTCATGTGTGGATGTGCGTGCAGGTGTCTGTTTCCTGTGTAGGAGCCAAACATTGTTTTCACATTTGATGCAGGATATCCATATATAACATGGTATATCTTTTTCTCAATATTTTCTAGATTTACATTATTTTGGAAACCCCATTACCCAGCCAGAATAATATCTAAATGATTCCTACAGACTTGTAGTGACATGAAAGTGAATAATATCTCCTGACTAAATGAATTGAGAAATAGAAAGAAATACTGTAATTTTACAACAGCTAGCCAGTATAGGTAGCTTTGTATCAAAAGTATTACAGAAAAACATCTGTGCAATACGTCCTGTTCATATCAGAAGGCTTGTAATGATAGTTGATTATTCATGTACAATGTGTTCCCTGTTTCAGCTATTCCCGATGTGGCAGTGCATCCTCTTTGCATACCATGCACAGGTAATAATGTACAACTTCTCAACACAGGCTAGGCCTTATTGTCACATTATTGTACTCATAGTGAGCCCTTTACCATTCAAGGAATCCCGTCCGCCCAGAAGCGGAAGGTCGCGGGTTCGATCCCTGACCGCGTCATACCAAAAGACGGTAAAATATGGTACTTGTTGGTCCCTGCCTGGCGCTTGGCATTAATGGGTACAACAAGGACTGGTCGGCTCAGAGTCAGTATAATGTGTCTGAGTGGGGTATTCATGCTTCACTGCGGCATGGTATCTCAGTGGGCTAGCACTATAAAACCAGCTTAAGTCTGGGCTAGTACAAGCAGCCGCACATACACATACACACGCATGCACGTCGTCATATGAGCGAAATATTCTCAAGCACGACGTTAAGCCCAATTTCACCTCACCTCAAGGAATCCCTTTGACAACTGAGTGCCTGTCATTAAATTTACATTTCATAGTCACTACAAGCTTGTTCCAAGTCATGAGTGAAGTTATCTTAAAGGCACCAAGAAATTTATGTTTGTAACATACTAGTCATCCTTCAAAGATGTGAAATTTGCAAAAGCATTTTGTGCAATTTACAACAAAAAAACCCCAAAAGATAAACATATTTTTGAAAAAAAAATTTGGTGTGTGGGTGTATTAACCATAACAGAAAATTTGATAAATGACGCTAACCAATTATTTTCGATGATTGATCGGTTGTAATGAACCAATCATCAATTATGAGAGTTTAACCAATTCCCAACACTACTTCAATGTATACATGATTCACTCATTTCATTTGTTCAAAATAAATTAACAATGAAATCAAGGGTCCTTGTCATAACCAAGATCCCTAGATTGTACTATTGTAGGACAAAACCTCAAGTAAAGTCCTTAACTTCTTACTAGGTTTTGTAACACTAACATATCTAGTTGATCTCTTTTGGACCATGATGGACCCATGAAGATTCGGGTTACAATTGATCTTCAGTAACCCATGCTTGTCATAAGAGGCAACTAATGGGATTGAGTGGTCAGGCTCGCTCATTTGGTCGACACATGTCATCGTATCCCAATCGCGTAGATCAATGCTCATGGTGTGGATGGGGCGGTGGGGTAGCCTAGTGGTTAAAGAGTTGGCTCGTCACGCCGAATACCTGGGTTCGAATCCCCACGTGGGTACAATGTGTGAAGCCCATTTCTGGTGTCCCCAGCCGTGATGTTGCTGGAATATTGCTAAAAGCGGCGTAAAACCAAACTCAGTCAGTCAGTCATGGTGTTGATCACTGGATTATCTGGCCCATACTGGATTATTTACAGACTGACCCCAAATAGCTGGAATATTGCTGAGTGTGACATTAAACAATAAACCACCCAACCAAACCTCCTGATGATGTGAGTGTTGTGCTGCTACAGTTGCCGGGACACCTCCATGTCAGACTACAGATGTGTCAGAACTGGGAGCCACCACACCCAACCCGGGACCAACGCTCATTCAACTCCACCATCCTCCTCAACTGGCTCAAGAGGATCCAGTTCAAGCTCGGGCAGATCGAAGTCCAGTCATCAGCAGCGACACAGTTTTACACTGTGTGAAGGAAGCTCTAAGGGACTTTGCACATCGCCTGTCCTTTTGGACAGAGAATCATCTGAAGGAGCAATACTTATAACATCCAAGTTCCTAATGTACTAATATACTGTCCGTGATCAAGAAGTCACATCATATCATATAGTCACCCTGTTGTCACACTCAATTGATCATGTATTGATAAGGACATTGGCAATTGTTATTGTGATGTCATCAGTTGGGAACATCTGATGTTTGTTATCTACAGTGTTATGTCTCTAGATCAGGGGAGGTTTTACTTCTATATTGTTGAAATAGAACTTATTAATATAAGTCAAAATATGTTCTGTCACTATTGGCCAAAATAATGTAGATTTGTTCCATAAATAATTCTGGTATTGCTCATAATTTTGACTAAATATTTTTAGGGCATTATTTTAATATTTGTTGGATCAAAGATATGCTGAACCTTTTTTCTTCAACTCGGGACAAAAAGAATAGTTCAAATTACAAGTACATGGATGTTTTTTCTGACGTATCATGCACACGAAATTATTTTGCCCTGTGGTCCTTAAAAAAGCTTTGGATGATTAATTTCACATTTATATTTTGCCAAATTGTTCAGTTGACAAGTCATAGGAGATTTCCTTGTATAGTAAATGTAGAGTTATGTCACAGAATTTGCCAAAATGTACTGTTTGTCCTCCGATAAAATATGCCAACAAAGATGCCAGCAGCTTCTACTCTTTCCTCCCCCTTCTTCAGGCAATATTTGCAAGAACATTCCATGATCAAGTTTGTGAAGAAGAATATTATTCCCACCTCCGACTTCTGCCCATGACTTTAAAAATCTGTCCTAAAACAAATGTAAAATAATGGCCTTATATGACATCCTGTCTCCCCCAACCAGTCAGAATATGTTGTTTGATATGGAGCTTCCATGGCATTGTTTTGAACATCAATGTGAACTGTGATATTGCTGGTTTTTTTTACATTAACTTCTCGTTGTACAGATGTTTGGTGTTCAAGCTGTACTGATGTGCGTGGTCCAAGGCTGGAGGTGACCTGACCAGAATGTGTAGTCTGTGAGAATGATGGGTGACAGGAGAGCTATGGAAGTGATCTGATGATACATCAACTATTCTACCTATCATAAGTTTAGACTCACTTAAAGCTCTCACTATATGTTATGTGTATACATATGGTTACATTGAAGATGAATTTCTCCACAAACTTGGGGGAACCAACTGCAAACCATATGCAGATGAATTGCACGAGGATCAAGCCTCAAATTGCTGAAAAGCATGTGCAAATATCATACATGTGAACAGCTGCGTTTTGGTGTAAAGTTTGTTAAGAATTCGTCGATTGTCACAGAGTTTGATCATTTATTGAACTCATGACTAATCCTTTCAACATTACGAATTTGTTTTACAATACATCAGTTCATGTGTAAACAGCACCTTTAATCAGTATGGAATATTTTGCAAGCTCTAGTTTTAACAGTTCACTGAAGTTAGTGGCTACATTTACACTAGTGAGTCTAAACTTTTGATGGGTAGTATATATGGAGGCACACGCTTCACGGTCACTGAGAGTCCTGGTGGGGTACACTCATTGAAAAAAAATAAAATATTTTGGTGTCATAAATGTAAAATGAGTGGCATTAATATGTGAGAGCTATCTAAGTGACCAATATTTAGAAGAATGGTTCACAAGACCGAAGTCTTACTGCATCTTTGTGATCTAATTGTCGACACTTTCTTTTGATGTTGATGACCTCCCCACCCCTTCATCGTGACCCTCATCAGCGTTTAGTGAAGTATGAGCTTGGAGTGACAGTTCCATAGACTTCATTGCAGAATCCTACTCTGTGCTCAGTGTCTTGTGATCTTGTGACATTGTAATAAAGCAAGGTATAAGCAGTGTATGAAATAAGGCCCGTCCGACCGCCTGAGATGGGCTAGATTTCTGAAGGATGGTCTAAATTTACAGCTAGCCAGCCCGATGGTCTGGTAAAAGTTTTAGATGTGAGTAAATTCACCAGATTTGGTCTGGTTAAATCCTGATGTCAGGCTGTTTTTTTAAACTTATTTCATACACTGGTGTAAGGACTTGCCATGTGGTGAGAAAAGTACTTTTGAGATGATGTTTACTGATGTACATGCCTCCAGTATCCGATACTGCTGTTGACAAAGTTTGATCTGGCGGTCTCCAGTTGTTCACCTTTGTTGTAATGTAATCTTGGCAAGATGGTTTGGCATGGTGAGACAAAGCATTCAGTTAGAGCCTAATGTCTCGGTGGTCAGTTGCCGCATTTTATAAAGCACACAAAGGCCAGTGCCTGTGTTGTATCAAGATTGATTGTCAGTCAAGGTAAACACTTGTTATCTAATTGTCAGATTATGATCAGCTGTACATTATGACATGTGGCAATCAGCTCAGCATACTTTGTGGGTAGATGTGTTGACACCTGCGGACTTCTTGTCTCACTGGAACCAGTACTTCCTGTGTGTTGAGAGTTGAATCTATTATTTCTCTACTCTCGTCAGGTTTTCCACAGTGGAGACAGTAGTGACATCAACCTGAATTATGACATTTCACAGTATTTTGGTTTAAAGAACCATGACATGTAAATAATTGACAGAATGAGGATGAATTTGTTATTATGTATATGTTACAGTTAAGCATGAGGAACCGATCATACTTCCTGTCAGTGAGGCTTCTGTATGTGTTAAGGGATGGCGAGGCAGCACAAGGTGTGTTGATGTTACAAGAGGTATATTTATACTATATGTACCTTAGACAACTATTTACAGATGAGCTGGTTACTTTACAAGAGTTTTCTATGTGTATATACAACTATATATGTTGACAGTGTTGCTAGTATTTATTGTATAGCCTATTAAAAGCGGTTGTTCCTTTGCCACATGTGTTCTGATCACTGAATTCAATGTCAGCTGGTCTTTAGGTACATATTATATTTGGGATTACGGTACACTTTCCAGTAAAGTATTGATTTCTAGTACTTTTCAGGGTTTAGTCTAATCTGGGATTCGAGCAAACACTCTCAAAAGAAACTTTAATTGTTTGGTCCAGACAACATACATTGTCAAAGAGGACCATAATATTCATTATAATGTACATCAACTGTAAATAGGTCTCCTTGTGTTGCCAGGCAACAGGCATATCTGTACATTTTATATAAAAGGTTTGACTGACTGACTGAGTTTGGTTTTACGCCGCTTTTAGCAATATTCCAGCAACATCACGGCGGGGGACACCAGAAATGGGCTTAACACATTGTACCCACGTGGGGATTCGAACCCGGGTCTTCGGCGTGACGAGCCAACTCTTTAACCATTAGGCTACCCCACCGCCCCTAAAAGGTTTGAAATGAACAGAATATATTGAAAAGTCAGACTTCACATTCACTAAGTGTTCATCGGGGTGGTTTGGTTGTAGTTCTCCGACCGCGAACGTGAATATGCATCTTCAAGTGGCTTCTGGGCTGTTTCCTCTAACAGAAACGGAAGTCCAACATTGGCCAGAATCAGAATTCCCATCACTGCATAAGGTACAACCAGGTCGTGCTCTATCTGGGGAGAAAGTTATCAGGGGGTGATTAGCCAGCCCCATCAACAGTTCCATCCAACATCATGAAAATGTCTGTTCACAACTAGAATTTGGTTTGAACAGTTGGTATAACCTTGATAGCAATGGCAATGAGCAGACGTCTCCATCTTGAGGTCAGTTTCAACATCACTTTGATAGGACAACGTATCATCAGACTACATTGGGTTGAGTTTAGTTGAGTAGGGTTTTAGTCACATGGGTGTTATTCCAGCCATATAGTGACTATATTGGGGGCAAAGATACCCACCTTCAGGACTATAAATAGGGCAAGGATACTTTCCACCATGACCATATTAGGGTACCCACAATCAGGACTATATTAAGGGCAAAGATACCTATCATCAGGACAATAAAGGGACAGAGATATTCACCAGAAGCATACACCATGAGGAACAGATAAGGAGCAAGGTCTCTCCCCATTACCAAAATGTATGGAGATTGGATATTCACCGTCTGGACCATCTAACTCACCATCATGGCAATATAAGGAGCAGGGATACTCACCATCAGGACCATATAAGGAGCATGGATACTCACCATCAGGACCCTATAAGGAGTAGGGATACTCACCATCAAGACCATATAAGGAGCAGGGATACTCACCATCAGGACCATATAAGGAGCAGGGATACTCACCATCAAGACCATATAAGGAGCAGGGATACTCACCATCAGGACCATATAAGGAGCAGGGATACTCACCATCAGGACCATATAAGGAGCAGGGATACTCCCCATCAGGACCAGGGATATATCAGGAGCATATATAGGGATACTCACCATCAAGACCATATAAGGAGCAGGGATACTCCCATGGTCCATATAAGGGACCATCATAAGGAGCAGGGATACTCCTGGTCAGGACCATAGAAGCAGCAGGGATACTCCTGGTCAGGACCATAGAAGCAGCAGGGATACTCACCATCAGGACCATATAAGGAGCAGGGATACTCACCATCATGGCCATATAAGGAGCAGGGATACTCACCATCATGGCCGTATAAGGAGCAGGGATACTCACCATCATGGCCATATAAGGAGCAGGGATACTCACCATCATGGCCATATAAGGAGCAGGGATACTCAACATCAGGACCATATAAGGAGCAGGGATACTCACCATCAAGACCATATAAGGAGCAGGGATACTCACCATCATGGCCATATAAGGAGCAGGGATACTCACCATCAAAATCCATATAAGGAGGGATACTCACCATCAATATAAGGAGCAGGGATACCATATATATAAGGAGCAGGGATACTCACCATCAAGACCATATAAGGAGCAGGGATACTAACCATCATGGCCATATAAGGAGCAGGGATACTCACCATCAGGACAATATAAGGAGCAAGGATACTCACCATCAGGTCCACATGAGCAGCAGGGATACTCACCATCAAGACCATACAAGGAGCAGGGATACTCACCATCAGGACCATATAAGGAGCAGGGATACTCACCATCATGCCCATATGAGGAGCAGAGATACTCACCATCAGGACCATATAAGGAGCAGGGATATTCACCATCATGGCCATATAAGCAGCAGGGATACTCCCCATCAGGACCATATAAGGAGCAGGGATACTCCCCATCAGGACCATATAAGGAGCAGGGATACTCCCCATCAGGACCATATAAGGAGCAGGGATACTCCCCATAAGGACCATATAAGGAGCAGGGATACTCCCCATCATGGCCATATAAGGAGCAGGGATACTCACCATCAAAATCCATATAAGGAGCAGGGATACTCACCATCATGGCCATATAAGGAGCAGGGATACTTCCCATAAGGACCATATAAGGAGCAGGGATACTCCCCATCATGGCCATATAAGGAGCAGGGATACTCCCCATCAGGACCATATAAGGAGCAGGGATACTCACCATAAGGACCATATAAGGAGCAGAGATACTCATCATCATGGCCATATAAGGAGCAGGGATACTCCCCATCAGGACCATATAAGGGGCCGGGATACTCCCCATCATGGCCATATAAGGTGCAGAGATACTCACCATCATGGCCATATAAGGTGCAGAGATACTCACCATCATGGCCATATAAGGAGCAGGGATACTCCCCATCAGGACCATATAAGGAGCAGGAATACTCCCCATCATGGCCATATAAGGTGCAGAGATAATCACCATCATGGCCATATAAGGTGCAGAGATACTCACCATCATGGCCATATAAGGAGCAGGGATACTCCCCATCAGGACCATATAAGGAGCAGGGATACTCACCATAAGGACCATATAAGGAGCAGGGATACTCCCCATCATGGCCATATAAGGAGCAGGGATACTCCCCATCAGGACCATATAAGGAGCAGGGATACTCCCCATCAGGACCATATAAGGAGCAGGGATACTCCCATATATAAAGACCATATAAGGAGCAGGGATACTCCCCATCATGGCCATATAAGGAGCAGAGATACTCACCATCATGGCCATATAAGGAGCAGGGATACTCCCCATCAGGACCATATAAGGAGCAGGGATACTCCCCATCATGGCCATATAAGGAGCAGGGATACTCCCCATCAGGACCATATAAGGAGCAGGGATACTCCCCATCATGGCCATATAAGGTGCAGAGATACTCACCATCATGGCCATATAAGGAGCAGGGATAGTCACCATCAGGTCCACATGAGCAGCAGGGATACTCACCATCAAGACCATACAAGGAGCAGGGATACTCACCATCATGGCCATATAAGGAGCAGGGATACTCACCTTCATGGCCATATAAGGAGCAGGGATACTCACCATCAGGACCATATAAGGAGCAGAGATACTCACCATCATGGCCATAGAAGGAGCAGAGATTCTCACCATCAGGACCATATAAGGAGCAGGGATACTCACCATCATGGCCATATAAGGAGCAAGGATACTCATCATCAGGACCATATAAGGAGCAGAGATACTCACCATCATGGCCATATAAGGAGCAGAGATACTCACCATCATGGCCATAGAAGGAGCAGAGATTCTCCCCATCAGGACCATATAAGGAGCAGGGATACTCACCATCAAGACCATATAAGGAGCAGGGATACTCCCCATCAGGACCATATAAGGAGCAGGGACACTCACCATCAGGACCATATAAGGAGCAAGGATACTCCCCATCAGGACCATATAAGGAGCAAGGATACTCACCATCAGGACCATATAAGGAGCAAGGATACTCCCCAGTCCAGCTGCTATATTACAGGCACTGAGACCAAGTGTCCTGAATGAAAAGAGACCAGTGTATGGTTTTGACATCAAGCAAAGAAAGTCTTGAGTGAGTCGGTGACTCTATGGGTGTGTGAGTGAGTGAGTGCACAATATCTGAGCCTGTTAGTTGTCTAACTATACAGACTATGTATCATGGCATTCTTGATTCAGCTGCATACTTGAATGCTATAATTCACAACCCTGTGTTGTATGTTTTCAACATAGGATCAGGTATAGTAGAAACAAGGTCAACATCATATTGGGCAACAGACTTGCTCAAAGAAGTCTCTAGAAGATTAAAATACTGCCCTTTAACTATCCTTTGTGAATATAGGCTTAGAAAGAAAACAGACAAAATGTGAAATTCTGATAATGTCCATGCCAATATTTATCTGGACTTCAAGTATTTAGACTATATGAATACACAATGCCATTTAGAAAGTGATCAAATGTAACATATATTATATACTCATGCCAATAATGGTTGTCACCCTCTCCCCACCCTAACCCCCCAACCCCTCTCCTCTCCAATTAAAAAAGTGAAGGGGGTGACAACCATTATTGGCATGAGTATATTTGGGATTACACTTTCTTAGTAAAGTACATATTTTCGTACATATACGGGTGAGTCCCATCCCAGATTCAAACCTACGCCCTCAAAGTCAGGCACTGAACTGCCAGCACAACAAGTCAGAAGTCTAACCACCCTCATACCGCACTTCCGGATGACTTTGTGTGCTGGCGATTAAGTGCCTGACTCTGAGAGCATTGGTTCGAATCCTGGATTCCATGTCTGTCCCAGAACTTAACTTCAACCTTCATATATTGCTGTTGAGGACATTTGTTGATTAGTCACGTGTGTAATGTGGCAGTCACTGTTTTACTCCTGTCCCACTGTCTGGCCGCGTGTAGCTGAGAGTGTGCTGACTGACCTGACAACTGTAGGGTTGTGTTCAGCAGTAAACACTGTCTGGCTGCTGACTGACCTGACAACTGTAGGGTAGTGTTCAGCAGTAAACACTGTCTGGCCGGCTGCGTGTAGCTGAGAGTGTGCTGACTGACCTGACAACTGTAGGGTAGTGTTCAGCAGTAAACACTGTCTGGCCGGCTGCGTGTAGCTGAGAGTGTGCTGACTGACCTGATAACTGTAGGGTAGTGTTCAGCAGTAAACACTGTCTGGCCGGCCTGACAACTGTAGGGTGCGTGTAGCACTGTCTGGGCGCGTGTGCTGAGAGTGTGCTGACTGACCTGATAACTGTAGGGTAAACACTGTGTTCAGCAGTAAACTGACCTGTCTGGGGTTGTGGCAGTAAACGTGCGATGTAGCTGAGAGTGTGCTGACTGACCTGACAACTGTAGGGTAGTGTTCAGCAGTAAACACTGTCTGGCCGGCTGCGTGTAGCTGAGAGTGTGCTGACTGACCTGATAACTGTAGGGTAGTGTTCAGCAGTAAACACTGTCTGGCCGGCTGCGTGTAGCTGAGAGTGTGCTGACTGACCTGACAACTGTAGGGTAGTGTTCAGCAGTAAACACTGTCTGGCCGCGTGTAGCTGAGAGTGTGCTGACTGACCTGACAACTGTAGGGTAGTGTTCAGCAGTAAACACTGTCTGGCCGCGTGTAGCTGAGAGTGTGCTGACTGACCTGACAACTGTAGGGTAGTGTTCAGCAGTAAACACTGTCTGGCCGGCTGCGTGTAGCTGAGAGTGTGCTGACTGACCTGATAACTGTAGGGTAGTGTTCAGCAGTAAACACTGTCTGGCCGGCTGCGTGTAGCTGAGAGTGTGCTGACTGACCTGACAACTGTAGGGTAGTGTTCAGCAGTAAACACTGTCTGGCCGCGTGTAGCTGAGAGTGTGCTGACTGACCTGACAACTGTAGGGTAGTGTTCAGCAGTAAACACTGTCTGGCCGCGTGTAGCTGAGAGTGTGCTGACTGACCTGATAACTGTAGGGTAGTGTTCAGCAGTAAACACTTTCATGGCCGCCCAGGCAACTGTGACCGACATCTGAGCAGTCAATGCCAGAGAGAAGTTGATTGTTGGCAAACCAGCAAGATCTGTTCAAAACAATATCAAACTAAAACAGAGTCAATAGTTTCAGGCATTGCAATTTGTTGTGGGCAGAATGGCGCCCCTTTCCAGTGCCAGGATCCACTTGCCGAGGGATACCAGATTCGCCCAGGTTGTGACGCTGTGTTATAGTAGGTTTCACTAAAGTGGAATACTTCTACGCCTGCATCAGGTTGATTGTATCGGCGGCTTGCACTACATATAGCATGCCGATACTTAAAGACTGTTTTATGTGCGTTGACCCAATTTTGGTGAGGTAGCCAATTTGGCAAAGCGATGCCAGGTTCGATTTGAAGTCTATTTTTCAAGTAATAGGTGGAATAATGCTGAGAGCGGCTACAGGCTGTCTCACCATCAACAGGCTGTCTCACCATCAACAGGCAGCCTCACCATCAGCAGGCTGACTCACCATCAACAGGCTAACACACCGGCTACAGGCTGACTCACCATCAACAGGCTGACTCACCATCAACAGGCTGACTCACCATCAACAGGCTAACACACCGGCTACAGGCTGACTCACCATCAACAGGCTGTCTCACCATCAACAGGCAGCCTCACCATCAACAGACAGACTCACCATCAACAGGCTGACTCACCATCAACAGGCTAACACATAAAACAAGTGTTTGCCACTGATATGGCAATGTCCACCGCCGCTAAAGAATGGAATATCTATATTTACTACTTTTTATTTTTGGGTCACATACAAGATGCCTGAAATGACTGGTGTCTGCATAATCACCCAATGTAGACTGTCAACATACTTGAAAACATTGGGTGCAATGTTTTATGAGATATCGCCTTTAAAAGCGGTCAAAGTATCGTGGTGACCTTGAAGATAAGGTCAAGGTCACCCAAATAAACTGGTGTCTGTGTAATACCCCAATGTAAACTGTCACCAAATTTGAAGACATTGGGTACAACAGTCCATGAGATATCGCGTTAACAAGAGTTAAAAGTGTGAAAAGTGTCGTGGTGACCTTGAAGATAAGGTCAAGGTCACCCAAAATCAACTGGTGTCTGCGTAATCCCCCAATGTATGCTGTCACCAAATTTGAAGACATTGGGTACAACAGTCCATGAGATGCCGTGTTAAGAAGAGTTTGAAAAGTGGTCAAAGTGTCGTGGTGACCTTGAAAATAAGGTCAAGGTCACCCAAATCGTCTGGTGTCTGTGCAATCCCCCAATGTAGGCTGTCACCAAATTTGAAGACATTGGGTACAACATTTCATGAGATATCGCGTTAACAAGAGTTTGAAAAGTGGTCAAAGTGTCGTGGTGACCTTGAAAATAAGGTCAAGGTCACCCAAATCGACTGGTGTCTGCATAATCTCCCAATGTAGGCTGTCACCAAATTTGAAGACAGTGGGTACAACAGTTCATGAGATATCGCGTTAACAACTCGGTTTTGAAGCGTACCTGTCGTTTAAGTAAATGACAATTGGAATTCTGGGTAATCCAGTGAGCCCCGTAAGGGTGATGTTGAGGTAGACACTTCCGACCCAGGTCCGTGCTCCCAAAGACAACCCATAATACATCACACTGGAAATGAACCTGCGGAAGATAATCTAAGGGTACATGATGCATTTTAAACACAGCTTCTGGTATACTGTTGGTTATGTAATATGACTGTATCTGTAAATTGTGTATTGTAGGTCATCATATTGCATGTATCAGTACAAGACCATGTTAACAAGTATTCTACGTGTATATAAACAAACTCCTTGTCAAGGCCTTCGGACCTCTGACCATCATCTTCGAGTGTGTCAGTATAGTGAGTGAGTGAGTATGATTTTACGACGCTTTTAGCAACAATCCATCAATGGCACAGTTGGAGACACAGGAAATTGTCTTCACACTTTGAACACATGTGGGGAATCGAACCCTGGACTTTAGCGTGAGGAGAGAACGCTTTAAGCACTAGCCTACCCCACTGCCCCGTATTAGTTAGATGGCCCTGTGGTATTATCGACCAGTGAATTTCATAGTCAAATTTGTTTTGGTTTTTTTCTATCGCGACGCAGAAACAGCCTAGCTATGTATAAGCTGGCGGATATTAGACTGTTATTTTCTTTGAAATTCTTCTACTTAATTGGGTCTAACACGGTTGTCACTTGCATCCTGAAATATCTCCGTGATATATATTTATAGCTTCGAGTCATGAATTAGTAGGTGGAATATTGCTTAGACCGGCGTTAAGCAGGAAACCAACGAAACGTCCAGTCTTAGCCATTCATACAAGAACCCAACTACAAAATACTTAAGTATTCTTGTGTAAGTAAAAGCAAGGCAAAGAAAGCCAAACAAATTAAGTACGCATGATGCATGACATGGCTCGATAGAGAATCCTACCACATTGAATGAAATACGGCAGCAGTTTTGAGCTTCTTCTTCGAGTTGTAAAGGTGAATAAACGTATAGTTCTTCTGTAAGGCCTGCATTGTCTGCTCATGTTCTGCTATCATTTGTAGCTGGCTCAAGTCCGGTGTTTGGATCCGGTTCATCTTTATAATCCGGGCAATTGTCCTCTCCGCGTCATCAACACGGCCGCGGGATAACTGCCACCGAATACTTTCTGGGAAGAGTCTACAATCATAAAGCAATTTTATTGTGTACTTTTTCAACCTTAACACAGGAAGGAAATGTGTTTGCTTGTTGGCTAAAGCACCTGTCAGCAAACTCCCAGCAATAAAATCTTCCGTCAAAACTAGCCTGGGACCAGACAAACCATTGATTGATGTCGTGAGCAGCCTCCCATGTCGTCGAGGTATCAAACACGACCATCTGCCCCATCAGATCACCTCGTAAGACCAACTCCAACCCAAATTACAGACAAGTACAGGACAACGTTTGGAAGATACAATTTAACAAGGAACTGTGGTTAAAGTTCCAAAACCATAAGCAGAATCGACAATCGAGGTTTTACTTTACATAGTTATTTTCCTCTTCGCCGTTTCCTTATCTCCATGGGGATCTAGCGACACGAGGGCTCTTCCAGAACCTTTACGACTCGATAGACAATAGTTTATATTTTTCCAAATTGATCCAAGACGTGAAACTTGCACCTGGGCCCCTGCCCCCATATCGGTAGGTGGACCTATTCTAAGGGTGTTAAAGGTGCATTAAAAGTATTTTGTTTGTATATGTCTTTCACAAATAATAGATTGCAAAAATTATGTTTCTGACAATTTATTTCCCAAACAGTCAAAAACACAATTACTTTTAAGAATGTTTTGGGGCCATTGGGTTCTTTTTGTCGAAAAATCCCAATGCCTATGGTCCACCCCTACAATATCACAAGGTCGGTCCCAACAACGAGGATACCTGTATGTGAGTAGAATCGGGGCCTCTATCGCCGCAATGAAGAAACAGAAATGCCTAACATCGTGAATGATCCAAGCGACGAGACCGAACAAGGTAAGTCCGAGCGTCCAGAAAGGGAAGGAACCAACAGCCGTCCGCCATCTTGCTCGGACGAACTCAACACACTGGGGATAACAGGAGACGAGGTATCCTCCACAGGCGATGCCGATGAAGAAGGAACAGACAGAGAACATCTGCCACGATGTCGCAAACCCTGCGATGGTGCAGGAGACGGTGAGTATGAGGAGACACAGGTACAGGGCAATCTTGCGTCCAAATGCATCTGAGATCTGACCAGAAACAATGGCGCCCACCAGGTTTCCGGCCATCTGTATTGACGTCATTGTGGCGGGGATGGCCTGGCTGTCGCAGACGAGGTTCCACTATTCAACAGATTTCAGAAAAGATGAGGATAAGACAGTTATTGCACCGTAGCTCACCTTCTTCAAACTGAATACTACTGAGAAAGTTAGAAGCTTCGTATGTAGTGTAACGACGCAATCAGCAAGATTCCATCTAAATGACAGCGGACTGCAGAAACGAATAGAGTCTGGACCAGAAAATCCAGAGATCATTGTTGTCGCTCTGTATAGCTGAGTTAGGATTATGAGCATCAACCAAATTACAGACGCTGAACACCTGATTCCTTCTATTCTCGCTACCTTTTATTCTGCTGTAGCGAGAGCCATGACATATTGGAGAACTCTTCTTTATTGAAAAACGGGAGCTTTATGCCATGTGCTGAACCATACAGTTTCGCTCTTTGGCTCTGAGGGAACGAAAACACAATTTACCTCGCTGACTACCGTTGCCATCTGTGGGTCAAAATAAGGATTGTCACAAGTAGACTGGTTGGAGGGACAATATTGGTAGGTTTCGTTGGTGCAGTCGGAACATCCCCCTGTTGTGTTGAAGTCCCCCGGACACCACCAATCTGGGACTTTGGCAAAAACGGACATCATAAGCGTTGCCCAGGCAACGGGTATTTCCTGCATCTGGAGCATCAGTATCATGGTGACTTGGAACCGACCTGGGTTTCCCAGCTGCTCAATCAGATCCTCAAATGAATGTACAGAGCTCATCTGAAACAAACAACACAATGCTCATTGGTGACCTAGCTGTTGGGGTAATGCTATAAGGTTAACAAAAAGGGACAAAACGCCTTCCATTGTACGATCTGACTGGATTATTATCAAATAGTGATAATACGTTCAACGTGTTTACGAGTAGTTGAGCGTATCCTACCCGTTAGGTCAACTGTTCCTATGATCAAACACTGGAATATGCTGTGGCAGAACAAACATGTCGTGTACCTTGATCTATGTATTACAATGAGGGGTAGCTAGTTAGTTAAATACGACAGGAGCACCTTAAACTAACCTGGGCCCCGTTCCCCAAAAGCGATGAAAAAAAAAACCCCAAGAAGATCGTAACTCCCATACTTTAACGCAGAGTTACGACAGTCGTAGCGCTACGATCGCTTTGAGGAACGGGCTCCAGATCATTCCCTACTAATCCCTAGGTAGAGTATTTCTTAAATACTTCAGTCTTCCTCATTGGATGTCAGAAGTTGGACCAACATCTGGAGGAGGCCTTCAACTGCATCAATTCTTGTAGCAGCATCTGACAAGTTTCTGAGGGTCCACAGACAGTGGCCACTGACCCATCTCAACTCATACATGCCCATCACAATAGTGTGCTAAGTGGGTAAAGTTGATGTAGATGTTTGTTTTTATTTAGTGTACAATCAATATATAGTGTACCCTCCGCGTGCCTGGATAACACCCTACTTCACATAATCCCCACCAGTCGTCCTATCCGTTGTCGTGGAAACTGTCGCCATTCTTGGTGCAAAGCTGCTTCCTGTTCATGCAAATTTTGGAACAGGTGGTACACGTACTTGTATCCGTCACCTTATGAAGTCCCAAAAAGTGCTCCAGGGAGTTCAGGTCTCACCTCATGGCGAGTCACGGTAGGGGTGTCACTGCATTATTCTTAATGAAAGCTGTCTAGCGTTGTCCTCCATATATACAGGTCGTAGCAAGAGTATGATTATCTACATGGCGGACAACAACTAGATCCAGCATTTCCTGGACACAATGATCACCAGTCACATCCCCACGTGTTGTTGCCAAGTCAAGTTTACAGTCATGAGACACATCTCCGTACTAAGACGGAACATCCACCAAAATCAGTCGGTTAAATGTTCTTGCTGCAAATATTGTGTTTGGCTGACTCCAAACACTCAAGCGTCCATCAGTTACATGAAGACGGAATCAACTTTCATCAAACCAACGTATTCTTCGGGGAGGACTCAGATTCTATCGTTGCTGTGGTAAACACCAATCCAAGCGTGCTTGTTGGTGATATCGCTCAGCAGAGGTCCTTCAAAGGACAGGAAATATGCATACCAAAAATGTGCTACCTCTGGCCATCTGATAAACTTCTTTGTACCATGGTGGCCGAAAAATGACTGAACATTGTAATCCACGGTCAACATATATAGGAATGCTTGACCTTTTCCAGGTGTATATATATATATATGTGAATAGACAGTGCCATTGACAAAGTGGTCAAATGTAACATATGTTATATTTAGGATTACACTTTCTCAGTAAAGTACAGATTCTAGTACTTTTGTTGGGTTGCGGGATTCAAACCCACACCCTTAAAGTCAGGCACTCGTGTGCTGGCGATTAGGTGCCTGACTCTTAGGATGTGGGTTCGAATCCCAGATGGGACTCAACACATCAAAAGTACTAGAATCTATACTTTACTGAGAAAGTGTAATCCCAAATATAACAGATGTTACAGGTGTATATATGCTTTGGATGTTATACTAACTGATTTTATTAGTATAGTTGTATCAGTTACATATACCATTATCATCAAGACGATATGCACTCTTGTAAATACATGTATATTGTATATTTAATGAGGACATGGCAGATTGGTATGTATAGTGCGCAACAATAATTCAAGCTAGCAGCTGAATATAATTCAATTAGGAATTTAAACTGTAATAATGTTATACAGCGCTTTCAATTGTAATTTACTTAATGTACTTTAGATGTAGCTTTTAGAAATAAATCTATAAAAAATATATAGCTTACAGCTATTCCTGCCAGCTGTTGCATTAGGAACGTATCGTTGTAGCATTCCAGTACTCCTTTTAGGAGTTAATAAATAGTTATGTACATGGTTGTATTATAAATAGTTATGTACATGGTTGTATTATAAATAGTTATGTACATGGTTGTATTATAAATAGTTATGTACATGGTTGTATTATAAACAGTTATGTACGTGGTTGTGGTATAAATAGTTATGTACGTGGTTGTAGTATAAATAGTTATGTACATGGTTGTATTATAAATACTAATGTACATGGTTGTATTATAAATAGTTATGTACATGGTTGTATTATAAATAGTAATGTACATGGTTGTATTATAAATAGTTATGTTCATGGTTGTAGTATAAATAGTAATGTACATGGTTGTATTATAAATAGTTATGTACATGGTTGTATTATAAATAGTTATGTACGTGGTTGTAGTATAAATAGTTATGTACATGGTTGTATTATAAATAGTTATGTACATGGTTGCATGAATCGTGTTGGTGAATGTGTACTGCAGTGCATATGCTATGTTTATGTTACTGCATGTATGTGTGCGTGCGTGTGTGCGGGAAAAACGCATGTGTTTTTCGTGCGTTTAATACACATCTTATTCAGTTGTGACAATATATTATTGCATATAGTATCACCACATTACGTGAAGATCCGGATTAGAACTGATCTTCAGCAAACCATGCTTGTCGTAAGAGGCGACTATTGGTATCAGATGGTAAAACTCCCTGGTTGATGAATCGTATCTTAATTGCGTAGATCGATGCTCATGACATCAATCACTGGATTGTCAGATCCAGATCACCGTCGTACAGCTGGAATATTGCTGAATGCGGCGTTAAACAACAAGCGCTATATTACAGTTGGCTTCAGCCATGGAATTCCCAGACAACATGATTACACCTGGATTGACAAAATATAGCCACGTGACTGACAGAACATTGCGTAATTAACAACACTTATTGAATTATTGTCGAGCACTTGAGAAAATAGGGTTACCACAGTTCAACAGTAGATGGTACCTTTCCTAAGATTATCATATCATGTTCGGAATTATAACTGTAAATATCATCGACGTAGATGATTGTTTTGTATAGATCCTGTCACTAATGGGCATCCATAGAGGAGGGATGTTGGAGACTGTTCGGTACACTATCCGCCCAGACATCCTCCACCTTGTCCAGTGGCACGAGAGGATGTACAACAGCTCTTCTCACAATTTTCTTCACGTCCTCGTCCGTAGAGTAGTCCGTTACGAGGCCTTCCTTCTCTACACGGCACCAAATGCATTGCGTGTAATGGAAAAAGAACATCCACGAGTTGTTGTGGTTGGAGGAAAACCATCAGCTACAGCATTGTGAGCGGTTCAAAGTCAAGCTGAAGCACTTGAGTTTGTGGGTTGTCTCTTGGATATATCCCAACATCATCCCGTACGTACGCTGAGTCCGGTAGGTAGCAAACAGGAAACTAGGTCCCAACCTAACGGATATATGCAATGGGCATTCTTTCGCGGTTTCGGTTCACTATAATTTGAGATTTCCGCGGTATCGGCCGACAGGTCTAACATAAGCTCTGGCCCCTAGGTGTATAACACGGCTGGCGAGCGTTCCGGTTTTTTATACACAATTCATTGCGTAAGATAACATAATCCTGCAAAAGCAGATAATTATTTCTTGAGTAACAAATATCCCATAACTTCATTACTCATGAATAGCGCCAACACGTACATTAATAACGAAAATAGAAAGTATCATGGTTGTCGCACACCAACTTCTAAATGCCCCTCAAAGAAGTTACCACGGTTAGTTTTCACATAGGCAGCAACTGACCCATACATGCTCTATAAAATATCATTAATTTTTCCACGACACCCTTTAGTATGTAACATATATAAAAGTCCTACAAAATCGAATGCCTTCTTAAGGTTTTTAAAGGCGAAGTCAAATCTACCGTTGGGCTTACAGCGCTTGTATCGTAAATATCATCAATTGTAGAATAGCAGGGTCTAAACCCGGTTTGTGCTTCACTAAGTAATATACGCAAGAACATTAACGAATTTCTTAAATGGTTGTAAATGGTACACCCAAAATATCTAGCAGAGACATTCCTCTGCGGTTGGAAGATTCACTTAATTTACTGGATTGAAACAAAGAACAGATCATATCTATGTTCAACACTGTATGGAATCTATAAGAATCTATTACCTTTATAGGTCTCTCTAATAAGGAACTAAGAAAGCAGAATTTAGAAAAATCGGGAGGAACGCCGTCTTCATCCACTGCCTTGTTCCATTTTAAATCATCCATGCACTTTAACACTTTTTCATAAGAAATATCACAAGACAACGACCCCCGCCAGTAAGAAACATCCACACAACTGTTATTGATGTTAGAATCTATATCGGTATATAATCGTGTGTCGAAGTTTGAGAGTAACAGTTTGTATTTACAATTTAGTAATTCCTCAAAATTTTTACTTTTCCGTGTGCTGCCGTGGTGGGATGGCTTGTGTATCTCAAGGATCCTAAAATATATGCCGACAGGAGTCAAGCCCCGGGCAGGTTCAACCAAGAGTACAAGCGGTATACAGGGTTAAAGACAAACAGGTCAAGAAGAATTCCAGAAAAGAGATGCTATGTGGGAGACCTCGCTGCAGAGGAAGAGAAATCAGCATCCAAGGGAGAGTTGAGCAGGATGTACCAGATCACCAACACTCTATGTGGAAATCCCAATAAACATCAACAGCCCCTATCAAAGACAAGAAAGGGAAGGTACTTCCAACAGAGATGGAACAGGCGGAGAGTTGGGTTCAACACTTTGCAGAGGTGCTACATAGACCAGAGCCTGACATCCCAATCAACCTACAGCCACATGATGATCACCTACAATGCTGGAAGTGGAGGCAGCCATCAGAGCAATGCAGAACAGGGGCGGACATTGATTCTCTTCAAGCGGAACTGATAAAGACGGACCTACCAACACCCACAAGAGTCTTCACAAACCTCTTCTACAAGATCTGGGAGAACCCAGTCATACCATCCGACTGGAGTAAAGGTCTCATCGTCAAGCTGCCAAAGAAGGGAGACCTCAGCATAAGTGACAACTGGCGAGGAATACACTGCTGTCAGTTCCCAGAAAGATATTTTGCAGAATCCTCCTAAAGAGGATAGATGGTGCAATTGACAAGCGACTCCGACAAGAACAGGCTGGATTTCGAAAGGGCAAGGGCTGCAGGGACCAGATCTTCACACTGTGTAACATCATTGAACAAAGTCTTGAGTGGAATGCTCACTCGTGTATCAATTGCATTGACTTCAAGAAGGCGTTTGACAGTGTCCACCGTGTCTGGAAGATCTTGAGATCATATGGCATCCCAAAGAACATAGTGTGCCTCATAGAGATCTTTGCACTTTGAATGCATCATCATTCATAACAATGTCCTTTCAAGGTCAAGTCAGTAGTCGCCAAGGATGTATCCTCTCACTCATACTCTTCATCACAGTCATTGATTGGGTAATGCGCCAAACCACCCCAGACCATCCTCGCGGTATCCAGTAGACACTGAAGTAGGTCCAAGACTTCACTTACCTTGGCAGTGTCATTAGCAACGACAATGGTCCCAACAAGATATTAAGGCCCGGTTGAGCAAGGCAAGAGATACCTCCAGCAGATTCCGCCCTATCTGGAAGAGCAAGAACTACAGTCTCAAGAACAAGCTGAAGTTCTGCATCAGCAAAGTAAAGTCTGTACTTCTGTATAGTCCAGAGTGCTGGAGAGTGATAGTGTCAGACATGAACAAGATCGGTGCCTTCCACAACAGCTGCCTGTGGAAGATCTGCAACATCTACTGGACAAACAAGACCTCGAACGCTGACCTCTACAAGTAAACAAGAACCAAAGGCATATCACTTCAAATAAAGGCAAGGAGGTACATATGGCTTGGGCACGTCTTCAGAATGAGCCCAGACTCAACAACATGGAGAAGGACAGTAACTTCCGAGTTAAACGAGGTGGGAGAGTTTGGAGAGGCACAAACCCTCACACAAGACAGGAACAAATGGAGAGAGTTTGTTGCAGCCTTATGTCCCAACAGCTACGAATAGGAATAAGTAAGTACGCAAGTCAAAGTATTTAAACAAACGATTTACAACAATATCAGAAACTTGAGACCAACATTATTGGTAGTAATTGTGAGCAAGGTAACTCTGTTTAGTTTCTTGACAATGGCATGTTGGCTGTTTGAACATGGTCTTGGCGATCCACATGAACATAATTTGGTCATAAAGCGTTAAAAAGCGCGGAATACAACAATCACACACAGTAAGTCACGTGATCACGAGAGCTGGCTCGGTTATTATGTATTGTAAACGTTTGTCATAAAAAAATGAAAACGATACATGAAAAATGCATGCAGAAAAAGTTTCCCACGTATTGCACTTGCAATGTGTCAGAAACATGAGCATAGACATCGTCTATAAAAGGCCGAACCAATTTCATCATTTCATTATGAATTTAGAACGTAAACGAAGGTTAAAAAATGCCAAGATTGAATGCTACTGATCGAAATATCGCCATTGGACGTTTGGAAGCAGGGGGAGGCCCAGTCACCGATTTGCTACAGCAACGGACACTGCAGGACAGGTGTCTGGTCTTCGACGAATGTCCGACCAAACCATCAGAAATAGTCTGAGAGAAGTGAGAATTCGAGCATATCGACCAAAAGCTGGACCTGTCCTGGCACGATTGACATTTCTTTCATACGCAGTCGTAGGCACAATCCGCACCTTATATGCGTCTCAATCGTTTTATGTACGCCGCAATGCACACAGTACGGCCCTGTACGCGTGATAGTTTTGGGCATGCAGAAAACTATGCTGCGTACGCTGTTACGCAGGTCATAAGTTATAAATACGCAGTGCATCGGTCGAGCGCGGTCGAGTCTGCTATGTGTTCGTGGGGGATAAGCGGTTCATACGCGGCAATACGCTGATCTCCCGACACGAGCTATTAGCCGCGTATATTGGACGTATGCATAGCGTACCTGCAGCGAAGATACAACGCCCGCTGAAGGAACTCATAGCCGACGTAATTGCACGCATCAGTGCCGTCTGTCCTACGATAGGGCAGCGCATGGTACTTATTTGTAACTTATGACAAACGCACAGAGAGCGTACAGATAGCATACTTGCCGAACATCCAGGGTACACTCGAGATTTGGAATTAATATGATGGCTCGGGCGGCCCATGATGACAAACGGTTAATGGTCACGCTTTGGAATCTACACTGGTAACGAAAACAGCGGGAAACAGCCGCCTTTTTATATACATATGTATATATCGGGAATACGCTCGGACTATGATACGCTTGATATCCGTCGGAAGTGCGTCAGGCATGCGGTCGGCATATGTTGGGTGCGTCCGAAATACGCTCGGCATGCGCACTGCATATGCAGCTATTTGCGGCAAGAAAACTTAATTATGTTTAATACATTTCCATATTTTTGGACTGTGCGTTTCTTTTTTTCAAGGGTTTATATACAGTACGCACTAGAAGCCTTACTACAAGCCAGTTACTACGTCCAGCATATCCTCACTTTGTCGATGTGATGGGTTTGGTGGTTCCCTAGACTGTCTTAAGTCTTTACATTGAAATAGCAACGTCGTCTTTAATGTCATGTTTGTTCTGTCTGAGAGTCTGTCTATCCGTCAGTTCATTTCGGTTGCTAACCGCGTTCAAATACTTATTACTGACTAGATCCTAGTTAAGTGCATTCACGCACTGAAGTCATAAGCTATATCTGGAATTTCACTTATACTATCTTGTACTATCTTATACTATCGACGACAAAGATTGTTCTATTTTATGTTGTTTGTACTTACTTTCACATGTATCAGAGGGAAATCTTTTTTCAAAGTCCGTACACTTTTTTACATTTTGAAATACCTGCCTGTTTTTTATTCACACTTCTACACCAGAACACCCGTACCGTAGTGTTCCTAATTTTATGCAACATGAACTTGGACTTCCTACTAAACTGATCGTGATGGGATCCTCTCTTTCCCATCAGTTTATAAATTTATATTGTGAGGTCACTGAAGTAAGAACACCCACTTCTGTATGATTAAAACAGACACTAAGGTAACACTGTTCTACAATGTCGGCATTCTGTCCATTGTACCATAGGTTGGCTATTATTGTAACGTTTTGATAGTTTGTGTATTATCATATAGATGGAACTTGTAATAACAGCAGATATATTCAACAATTGACTAACTTCACAAATCAATACAAAGGTATCACTATGGCATTACAGGATGTGGTAGTACAAATATACACATGGTACGTAATTAAGCACCTGTAATATGTAGCTATCGATGGTGTGACAGTGATGCTATTGTTCAGTAGCACAGTTCAGGTAACAGAAAACAATGTTTCCGTTTGAAATAATTACCTATATACGACTAGTGAAGTGAAGCATGCTACTCGCTTATATCATGAAATGCGGTATCTGTCTTCCAAAATAGGGTTTAATCGTTGGTAAAAATTATGACAAAATGATATTTATCTTCAATTACGTTTACATTATTTTCTTTACAGTAGATACAATGTCTTTTCTCTCTATAAATAGTTTCATAACGCCCAGTTTCAATTTTTAGTTTATGACATGAAAATCGTAAAACAGTTAAATACCTAACAGTGTTTGGATGTAAGTTTAAATAGAATATTTCCTTAAATCTGCATAATAGTTTAATTCGAATCGGAAATGGAATTATATTCCTTCCCCGCTTTTCTAAGAGGATATACTATACAATCGGTAAGCAGAGTAGACTTATGTTTGACAGTCAGTTGGATCTCACAAGAAAAACTTACGAATCTACTGTATCATAGGGAGCATGACTCTTGTTGTCTTAATTAATCCGGTCCGTATGACTAGTGGCCGTATGGGCTTGTTCTCTATTCGCCTACATCCCAATTCTCCTACAGTGTTAAAACAACATTTAATGGTCTGTTGACTGTTGATTACGCAATGGTAAACTAGTGGCACCCCTATGATCTAAAAGTGGACTCTTCTAGTTGAAGTAGTTTAAGGACAAAAAGATTTACTTGTAATTTTCTGATCACAATTAAATGATCCTTTATTTATCACATATCACATCACACAATCACATCATATCATTTTCTGATCACAATGAATTGATCTTTTATTTATCATATATCACATCAATATTGAGAAAGTTCACTTTTTGGATGTCCAAAATGAACTCTGCCCTCTGCAGGATAGCCGTGACTATCAGTGCTTGGCGAACACACCATTTGATAAGGTAAAGTTGGTTTAAAGCCTATTAGTAGCAGAGAACTTATAGTATTTTACAGTGAGAAATTAACTATAACTCATCATTGTTTTTACAATTTAGCTTATGCATTAATCACTTTCAATTTAATATCACCCAGTTATAACTTCTTAGTGGATGCACGAATCATCTCTTCTACTCAACTACATATCCTTATAACAACAGTCGATCAAGATTAGTATGACCCTGAGCAGTGAGTCAGGCTCATTATAAGAGTATGGGGGTGCATTTTCTAATCCCAATTGGCCTACATTGTTTTTGTATGTCAAAGTCAAAGATGTTTATTGTACAAAAGGCCTCCGGCCCATATACATTGGAGTTATACATATACATTATACATATGGTGCAATAAGTAGTAATTAGTGATCCAAACAGTAAATCATGATACAGGCAGTAAATTATGTACAAGTAGTGAAATACGATGGACATACAACACTTTTTATCAGATTGTTACGTTTAATAAGAGCATAATTGATATAGTACGACAGCTTTATTATTACATGCTGGTCAGTTGATGAAAGAAGTAGTTTAAATGCTAATGTAGGTGGCTTACGTAGATAATATTCAGCTATATATTTCGTACGCAAATCTTTATACAAAGGACATACAAGCAAAAAATGGATTTCATTTTCCACATCTATATTACACAATGGGCACATTCTCTTGCATCGTTCAATATAAAAACGTCTTCCTTCGTTTACCATTATGTTGATCAAACCTAACCTAAAACGTATAAATGGATATCTTAATTTCTTTGATGTTAAAAACGACAGATATTTCTCCGGCTGGAGTAGTGATTTGTATATTCTATAAGAGTCGTACCGTGAACTATTATGTATTACTGAATGCCATTCTTGATAAAACATATTAAGACTTCTTTCTCGAAACTGAGTTAAAAACAAACTTGCATCGCCAACTGACTGACTTAACCATACAAAACCATAACCATGTGAAAACAGAAGATTTCTTACATAAGATAATGGTATGCGATATGGGTTGAAGGCGAATTGAGATGTCGGCGAATAGAGACAACCCGCCGTATGAGAAATGGGCGTATGACTAATGGGATACAACCGTTACATCCGTACACGTATCATGGCGAGGAGAACAGTTTCACTGGGACTGAGATAGTGGGCAGGCATGGGGCTGACGAGTCATTCAAGGCCATTGGGCATCAGCTCGGCTACCTCCACTCTGTCAGCATGATGCAAATATGACATACATTGATTGACTTAGCTTGAGTGAGCGAGTTTAGTTTTACGCCGCACTCAGCAAATATAAGCTGTATGACGGCGGTCTATAAATAATCGAGTCTGGACCAGACAATCCAGAGATCAACAGCACGAGAATCGATCCATGCAAGCGAGCCTAACCACCCGATCCAGTTAGTCGCCTCTTAAGACAAGAATCTGTTGCTGAAGACTAATTCTAACCCGGATTATATGATTTACATGAGATCATATGATCATGAGAACTTAACAAGTAAAGCAGACAGCAAATCAGCCTTCGTCGAACTCAAACCAAAGTTCCCCAGGCATCAAATTTGAGTCCAAATACTCTGTGCACAACATAATGACTTCATAAACTCCCCGACGCCATACAAATCGACAATCACTAACCTTTCATAAACTGAGATCAAGGCTATTGAATCTCGTCTGCCTTTGATATCTAATTATGCACAAGACTTTTTCAAAAACTTGTTCAACTAATTGGTCATAATGTCATCCGCCGTGACATTGTTCGAATATTGCTAGATGCTAAAAGCCATACTCACCCTTGCATGAATTGGGCAAATCGGACATAAAAACTGCACGCCCTCAGTGTCACTCCACACCTCTGCGTATAGCTGTTTGTCGTGGAGACCAGACAATGTAATTTACATGCGTATTTTATAAATATATGCAATGAAACCAGATACCAATATTCATATCCACTGGAATAATGCTTTATCCGCCAACAGTTACATCTGCTACCTCGGAGAGCACATGAACAATGGTAGTGTATGCTGTTATATTAACTTAGTGATTCGTGACCCTATTGCGCTCATATAGCATGGACCCTAAGTAATTCCCTTGTATTATTGAGACGGAATAATACGTTTAGTTCTAAAGCCCAAAGTCAACACACCTATTTTATTTTGATTTTCGATGTATAATGTAAATAAACAAATTTAAATCGTCAACACTAGAGGTGATCCGTTTTACATATCCGACGAAACAGATTTCACTGGGCGGAATGGACAGTGATGATACCAGGTGTTCGCGAAGAAGGTAAGTCTGGTCCTTCATCCGGGTGACACCCACAACTCGCATAGTATTGTTATAAACGTAACTGTTCATTTGCCTGCCGTCCATTGCCGTTGTCGCATTCAGCAACAGTCCAGCCATATACGACGGCTAGACACAGTAAAATCTGGAAGGTTAGAATTGGTCTTCAGCAACCTATATATGCTTGTCGTAAGAGGCGACTAAAAGGATCGGGTGGTCAGGCTCGCCGACTTGGTTGACACATGTCATTGTATTGCATTTGCGTAGTTCGTTGCGCATGCCGTTGGTCACTGGATTGTCAGGTCCAGACTCAATATAGCTGAATGCGGCGTTAAACAACAAACAAACCAATCAAGTCTGGACCAGAAACTCCAGTGAGTAATATTATGGAATTGCTCCACACAGTCGAGGCATGCTGACATGCTCACACCTTAGTCACCAGCCTGACCAGCTGTTCTTCAAAAATAGTGTCAGTGATAAAAGAGGTGTGAATACTACATATGAAAGTAGTGGTTTGGGAAGCAATGTTACTCATTAAGTTCATCCCACTGCACCATGAATTGTCCGGGTTTACTAATCAGACATTTGATGGTGAAATCTTGATTTTTGAAAGCTTAGTAGTAGGCCTTTCCATTTATAGTTAAATACAATGTATATACTCTAATGTATCTAGGCAACGGAGAAATGGGGACACCATATTGACGGTGATTGTACAATACCAGACAAGACGGGAATTCCATGATTCGAAATCATCCCGCTTGTCGTACAGCTTGTTAAAGACGTTGCCATCTTCTTGAAAAGGTATTAAAGCATAGAAAGACTTTAGATAAACCTATTGCATGAACAGGAGACACGAGCGATGAGTGAAGCAAGATTTACACAAACCTGTCGAGTCATATATTTATTTTGCGATGAAAAAATCACATTTATGAATCTTTTATGTTTAGTCTGAACCTTTTCACATAAGCCAAGGGAGGTGAGGCGTTTATACGTTTACACAGCCACCACTCATGTGTGTTTGTAGGGCGAGTTGTATGTATGATACAAGTGAAACGTTGTTTAGCGACCTTAAAGGCCTTTCTAAATTACTGAACCATGTATTTAATGCATTTAAAAAATGAAATATTGTAATTATCTTATATCTTTCTATCGTGTAAGCTGCTGTCTTGTATATTATGTAAATGTATATACGTTTATCTCATGTACCGCCGTTGGCGGTTTGTAGAGAATAAAGAGTTTGAGTTTGAGTTTGTTGTGCTTGAAAACAACTGCGACTTACACAACTATGACGTCAACTCGGTATCTCAAAAGAGTCTCCAATTTCAAAACCCTCTAGAACCGTTCTTGTGTTTTTTAATTTTAAATGGGCATCTAGCATGGTAGCAAGAGGGAATTCATCATCTGATCTCAGTATCTGGGAGTCAAAGTGTAAGATAAGCACTATGCTATACACAGTGCATTGATCTTACGATTTGGAAGTAAACCTATCATTGTGTTCCTTTCGTATAGTTTTTTTTTGATGATTGCAATTCCATATACAAATTAGTGACTCGTAATTTAGTATTAGTTTTCAACATTAAAGAAATTCCATTTAGAGCACTAGATGTACCCATCATGACTATTAAATACACAAGACATATTGTTGGTAGGGATGTGTGATAGCGTCGTCGCTTTTGAAAATATTTGATTCTGATTGGTCGGTCAGATATTACGAATCACATTAACTGCATTCAACATAAGAAACCCCGCCCTGCTAATTCCATTCACATTCAATTTAGCACTGTATCCATGTTGATCTAAACGCCAGCTTCCTGGTATGTGGACAAAAAAACACCCCAGCCTCAACTCACTTGACGGTAAACAGCAGCAATAGCAATATTTACTTTAATGAAGTTCGTTAAATTACATAACTAACAAATGTTCACGTGTAATATATTTCTTATGCTGAAAACTACAACGTTGTCCTCTCAAGAGCCTCAGTTGATAACTGCATAGATAGTGACTTCAAGCACATCGCAACAGTGCCGTGTTGTTGACAACCTGTACATATAAACTATAGCGAACCCGGATACTAGCTTGTGGAGACAAATTAACGTTTTTTCTTGTTAACGTACACGGGAGTGACGTACTTGTCATTCCTTATATACATTCAGTATCACGTGACCTGAACGGGGACACACATATAACACAGGCTGGAGAGGGGGACACAGTTGACAACGAGTAAAGCAAGGTAGGATGACACAGTGTAACACTGGTATAGCCGTGGGGGTCATCGCCTCCATACTGGTAGCGGCAGGTCTTGGAGCGTCTCTGTACGTCACTACGACGGGCACCGACAGCAATGGGAATACGACGACCACGACGACAACTACCGAGTCGACAACAACAGGGTAGGACGGATTTAATATGTATCAGGTGTTTCTCGAGACACGTTATGCTCTTTTGTTAGGGTTTGTCAGGCAGGTTAAATGGAATTCCTCCCCGTCATTAATTTACATTGCTTGAAATTATATTAATATCACAGATTGACTGATTCTAAGGAGTAGCATAGTGATTAAAGCGTTCGATTATTACGAGTAAATCTCATTTCTTTTGCTCCCGTTAATTGCTTGGATCTTACTACCGGTGGCGTAAAACAAAGGTCCCTCACTTAAGGATTCCATCAGCAGGTAAACATCAGACACAAACTGGAATAACATCCTCAGTATTTGAGTTACATCAACCAAATGCTTGATAACTATACCAGCATAGGATAGCAAAAACCGCACTGCGTTAATGCTATTGTGCTATTTCGTATTTTGTCTCGAAGCGAATCCAACAATTTGCTCATTGACTGAAACGCTTTGTTAATTTAGTCTGTGCGAGGTAGGGTGTGTGTATGGTGGACGTGTTGTCTGTGTCGTCCTGAAAGAGTCATTCACCTGTACAAGTAAACAGGTCGCGACATCCACGTCTGACGTAAAACTACATCAAGGATGTTTACTGGACAGTGACTGGTCTCGCACAATACCAGAACAATATCTTTTCAAGGAAAATGATTTAATCTACAACGTAATAAAAGCCCCAACCCAGACAGGAAAACGAACATGGCTATTAACGTTCTTAAGTCTGCATTTGTACAAAGCAGACGCAGTTTCGAATTTACATATCCGTTGTAGTTTCAACAAAACCTGTGAATGCGCTATTGTGACGGTATGTTCTGGGCTATTACTTGAATGTGTGGTTTGTAAACAGGTGCCGTCACAAGGCAGAATTACTGTGGTTCGGCTTTAACAGACGCTTAGTAGTTTCTTCAAATTGTGTCACTGGCAGGTGCTACCGGTAGCGCAGGACTTGCTTGCCGTTTACCCGAACATTTGGTGTCATCAGTAGGTTTCAGTGATCTATTCATATAATTTACTAAATTATTTGTCGTCAATTATCCCGAGGAATATGTGATCACGGACAATGAAAACAGGTTATTCTTGGGCGTTTAGGTTCTATATTTAGATGGCGTGAGGATAAGGTTATACCAGCTATACCTCTTGGGATGTTTGTGTGCGTGTGTGTGTGTCTGTGTGCATGCGTGCGTGTGCGTGTTATTGTGTGTGTGCGTGTGCGGTTATTAAAGGGCTGTTAGTGTGCTTATATAACCAAAATACTGATGCCGGTATCATTAACGTGTCTGTCTCTCGGAGACTCGACCGAAAATGTTTAAAAAAAAAAATAATCAGTCATGACCTGGAACTCACGTGATCATCAGATTAATTAACGTGATAAAGGCCAACATTGTCATCTGTCAGATTCCATGTTGTTGTGTTGTATAAACTTCCAGATAAGAACTGGGAATGTCAAAGTATTCTCTCTAACTCGCCATTGTTGCAGGAACGCCTATCAGACGCCCTGCGGTGTCTGTGGTCCTAAGATTGACGTGGCGCTGAGTGTAGTGAATACCCTGGTTGAACCATACTTCAATCATTCCGTTGAACTGTACGGGATGAGACAACAAGAGCTCATCGTCTTCTTGGCGGAAGCAGCCAAAACAAGACAAGAGTTCAGGTAATGTTTGATAGACAACGTACTTAGTGCATGCTCATCATCAGTCTGGGTATCGTCCGTTCATTCGAATAACAACACTATTCTGCCTTCGTCTGGGTCTTGGTTATTTATCCATCTTCATATTAACTGGACATGACCTCTCTCGGACAATCAGCTTCACAGCTGGACGTGACGTCATCACCTCCACATGATTTTCCTCGCACATTGGCGTGATTTGATTGGACAGCTATTTTTTTGTCGCGTCGTTCTAATCAAACTCAAAACGAAGCAATAGTATTCCATGTTATCTGTATATCTATATCTAGAAAGGTACTACAATACAGGGTAATTTGACCAGCTATGTAAGTACCAGTTTTGGCTTATTATTGAAGTTTGAAAGTTTTGGATACTGTGTCTCTACTGCCATCATTTTACGACTCATACATCTTTCTGTTGCTTGCGGTTTTAAGTTATATTCAAGTAGAGTAATGTGATAATTATACATGAAAAACTCGATAAGTGCTCGAAATACTTTATTTCGGTATAATGAAACAAACACATTGAGAACACAAATTCTAGTGGGTGTTGTGTCGGTATGCGATTGGAAAGAATAATGTTGTTTCATTTGTACGATTGTCATTCTGGAAGGTGGTCAGTACGCAAGACTGGGTTAATATTAATACACTTATTTCCGGAATATAGACATGTTTAACCAAGAATCATGCAGCTCCATGAATAACAACTGTATGGACGACAAAGCTGCATGTTTTGTTTTGGAGATTTGTCATATATTCTTTCTTTACATAAATATACCCCGGAAAAAAACTGTTAATTCTTATAAATAATAGCGACAAAACTCTTTTTGTAATTATAAGAAATCGTTGCTGAAAACACATTCTATGTCAGAGATGGTCTGTATCAGCTTCATGTGTGCATCTTGCTTTCTTGGTGTGCAGATGTGCCGGGAACTATGGGAAGTGGGGCTTTTTCGTAGACACCATCAATGGACTGAAGGCTGACTACAATTTGAATAAAACATGGTGGAAGATTACAGATCAGGACATGGTGTCCCTCTCCCTAGGTAATGTCATGAAGTACCAGGCGATTGATACGTAGACAGGTATCGTATCCTAGTTGCGCCGCGCACACTACGCAACATACATGGCCTCAGACCACAGTTACCCCCCATGACCCGGAAGTAAAATATGAGAATATAGTGCCTTGTTTAAATGGGCTGTTCTGCTTGTGCTGATTTTTTCAGGGTGACTTGTGATAGCTTAAATGAAAGGTAAGACATTGTACTTTATTGCAAAAAATTTTGGGTCCACAATCTACTCATGGTATTGACACCAGCCTTCCTTGATTTGACCCCAAGTTCAAGGCTGTCTGGTGTGTTTCGGCTCGTAACTTCCGGTGACCATTGTTTACAGTGGATACAGCAAAATCGACATGGTCGATCCAGGCTCATATTTTGCCGATTAAGTGACAAGTGGCAGGTTGGTCAGCATGCAACAGGAGAACAGCCTACGACCGATATTAATTATGGTGCACTTGCATGTCACTGTAGATAGCAAAGAAGGAAAATAATTGTGGTCTGAGGCCACATTACAGGTCAGGGGTATGTGGTTTCCGTTGAGAGAGGTACACAACATGAAGCTTGTGTAATACGCAGAGAGAGCTGTTGTAGTAGAAACACAACCTGAGCCGCTTGGTTTGTATTTTGTGAAGCCAAAGTATATGTTGACTGCCTGAAGGCAGCCAAACGTGGTGACTTCCATCTGTTGTTTTGTAGCAGAACATCACAAACTGCTATTTCTATATCGGTTATGACCTAAACTGTCTGCTGGTACCAGTCTAACTGTGAGCTGTGAGTGAGATGGGTTTGACAACTTCAGGCGAAATTTTGACGCTGTACACACACACACATTCAAAGTATTTCACAGGGTGACAAAATCTTTCGTTCGGCTATTTCTGTCCTGGAAAAGGTGATTATACCAGCACTTACTTGAAACCCATAACTGATCTGACGACGACAAATGATAATAATCGTGCTGGTCTTGGATTCGAACCCACACCCAGCAGATCCTTGTGCATGCTTGGAGGAGGCACTGCTGCCAAACGCTCGTAAATGAGTGAGTGAGTGAGTTTAGTTTTACGCCGCACTCAGCAATATTCCAGCTATATGGCGGCGGTCTGTAAATAATCGAGTCTGGACCAGACAATCCAGTGATCAACAGCATGAGCATAGATCTGCGCAATTGGGAACCGATGACATGTGTCAACCAAGTCAGCGAGCCCGACCACCCGATCCCGTTAGTCGCCTCTTACGACAAATGAAGCCTGTTTGACGTGACTGTTCTGAATCCCCTGCCATAGTATGATACTGCTGTGTAGGTAGAGTAGGTGAGTTAGGTCTAACGCAGCTTTAAAACAGTGCCCCATCTTCATCATTGTCTGGCTGTACACGTAGGCACCTACTGGTTAACCCCCAGGTGGGATGCTCACAGACCAAGGTCCATCTGATCCGCCGTTGGAGGGATCCCGGTACTGCCAAGGGACATAACTCTGCACAGTTAGGCAGAAGAGGCATTTTGCCCTGAATAGAAAGGAGTGAGTGCGTGAGTTGGGTTTTACGCCGCTTTTAGCAATGTTCCAGCAATATCATGGCAGGGGACACCAAAAATGGGCTTAACACATTGACCCATGTAGGGAATCTAGCCCAGGTCTTCAAAGTGAAGAGTGAACGCTTTAACCAGTAGGCCACAGGGGAGTGTCACGCTTAAAAACAGCGTTAGAAAGACATATAGGTATATAGATCCTACCCTAGTACTATATAAAAGGAAAGGGATGTAACGACGGAACCACCCCCTCCTCAATCAAAGTTAGATTTCACCACGTAAACTATTTGTAAGGCCCCGTCGAGGCCTACGGATCGAAAGAGAGATGATTTCCCTACAAAATGAGCTATAAATGGTCACAATCGGATCATTATTTCAAAAGTTATACGCCATGACTCACCGAAAACAGCTACCTCCGCAATTCTTAGCCAAAATCATGGATCACCCAAGACAGCGAAAACCCATCTTTTAAATTCGTTTATTAATTCCAGCACCTATGTAGGGCTAGATTCGATCGGCAGCGGCATTTCACTGGTCTTAAAACTTATTGCAACATCTACAAATCATTTCCTCGACAGTAAGCAGGCATTTTCTCCAAAACCATCGGCAATCATACTCACTTGTCGGCCATAGATGGCCTTGACATTTAAGTGACCTGAGCAGTAAATTGGTAAGAATAATTTTAGAGGTTAAATATTTATAAATATAATTTCCTAAAAAAGAACCAATATCGAGTGCATTTTTACAACCTCTAAAATTATTCTTAACAATTTACTGTTCCATACATCATCCAAAATAGAAGGAAATATTGCAAAGTTCATATTTCGCGCCCATTAGCAAAACAGTCAAAATCTTACAGTATATCATATTTTCCAACAATCGGATAGGCATTTGCTCCCAAACCATCGGCAATCATACTCACTTGTCGGCCATAGATGGCCTTGACATTCAAGTGATCTGAGCAGATCCATAGAAGCTGAATTGGGCCATCCGATTGTTGGAAAATATGTTTATAGCTTATTTTGTAGGGAAATCATCTCTCTTTCTATCTGTAGGACTCCACGGGACCTTACAAATAGTTTACGTGATGAAATCTAACTTTGATTGAGGAGGGGGTGGTTCCGTCGTTACATCCCTTTCCTTTTATATAGTACTAGGGTAGGGTCTATATGTCTTTCTAACGCTGTTTCTAAGCGTGACACGCCCTTGTGCAGTAGGCTACCCCTCCGCCCCGGAATAGAAAAGAAATGTAAAGTGGAAGATATGTGGATAAGGGCTAATATGGATTTAGACTCTTGTATCCTAAAACAACGTTATTTAAATTCTGGTGTCATTGATGCTTGAGCTTCTAAAATGCCTCTTTAGGCCAAAATATTGTTGTGTAAATTGTGAAATGTTCGAATGCGATCCTATTTACAGGTGTGAGTTCCTATATTCCTCAACACCAGGAGACTCTCATCTTTACCTTTGTGCAGAGCGACGGCCACTAAATCAAGGCGGACTCAGACAGTTATATTTTCATTGGATCTGCGAATCTCTACATGGTTGTGTCATGGTAATGGTCCCAAGGGAAACAATTTTACACATTTTGTCCATGTTTACACCGTTTTTGTACTGTATACAATATATTTTTAAGTGATTAAAATGTCCCTTCCACATCTTTCTTCATCTCATGTTGTTGGGGCACAAGGAATATTGCAGAACCCTCTGGAAACACTGGCAATTCAAATCAGTGCATAAATGGATTGCTTGATGGATTTATGAGTGAGCGAAAGTGTGAGTGAGTTGATGAATGAGCCCCTTGTTTAACGCCGCAGTCAACAATAACCAGCTAAGTCACGACTGTCCCGTTATAGAATCGGACCCTGGAGAACCACTGACTGAGCCAGCTGCCTCACTATGGCACAAGTACCCCCGCCACGTAAACATCCGATCCTCATCCGGGACCCTCCCTCTTAGGACAAGTAAAACAGGACTGTATGATCGTCTACCCGATAGAATTTTGTCTGATAGTCATTTGAAATTCCAAAAGACTCGTCCCTTCTCTGAAGGTAAAACGATTAAAGACACATAAACAGGGTTAATACCATTTGTCCCGACTGAAGCGTTACCACTGTACAAATGTCGCCAGTTACGTTGAGTTTTTTAAGGATTGGAAATGTCGTCTTATATGTGTAATTATACATCCTCGATAATCTCCAGGGTATACGTTACGATAACTCTCCATTATACCCTGGATGCATCTACGGCTCGGCCAGATGATTTTATTACCTCCCTTGGTTGGCTTTTTATCCAATCAGGTGTCTACGCTGGGAAGTTGAGCGTACCAATCATAACTCACTTTTGCTTTTTAAATTATCTAATCGATTAAACCGATTCAACACAATAATATATTGTTGCAGATACTCTGAAAGAAGGAGTTCTTGCATATATTTTTTTTGAGGTTTCAGACCTGTCAATTTGTCTGTATGTTTTCCCCCAAAAATCTGAGTCGCACTGCGAACAAAGTTTGGCGGCTGCGACCGCTATTTTTGTTGACACGAGCTGGCGAGCTTGGTTGTAACGGGGTCTTATCTGATTGGCTACTGTGAGAATGTGGAGGCAGCAAAGGGAGGTAATAATATAATTGGCTCGAGCCGTAGATGCATCCAGGGTATAGCGGAGAGTCATCGTAACGTATACCCTGGAGATTGTCGAGGATGGTAATTATATTGCCCAATCTCAAATATTGTCAAAATATCGTCCATCTGAGGCGCACGTAAAATCTTCCAAATTTTCCACGTGGTTATTCCCTTAATACAAGAAGGTGCAATAACAAAGCATAGAGAAATTGGTTCAATTTCCTCCGAAGTTCCAACAAAAACACACAGTTAAACGGTTCAGAAATTAGTTTCTTTCGCTTTCGTTCAGTGGTTAGTCTCATTTTCACCGCTGAAGTCACAAAATCACATGTGATATCTATACACATCTTCATTATCAAAAAGGGCCGGTGGGGTAGCCTAGTGGTTAAAGCGTTGGCTCGTCACGCTGAAGACCCGGGTTCGAATCCACACATGGGTACAATGTGTGAAGCCCATTTCTGGTGTTCCCCCGCCGTGATGTAGCTGGAATATTGCTAAAAGCGGCGTAAAACCAAACTCAGTTAGTCAGTCATTATCAAAATCAAAGCCAAACTTAAACTGGCTTTAGTGGTGGTTTGGTAATGTTCAATGATAGTCAAATACAACCCTCGAAGTTAGAATTGGTCTTCAGCAAATCCATGCTTGTTGTAAGAGGCGACTAACGGGATCGGATGGTCTGGCTCGGTCAATTGGTCGAACGTGTCGAACCAAACAAACAAACAATGACCCTCCGGCTACATCTAACCACGTGACAGTTGACCGTGGTGGAGTCCTTCTCATGTATTTCCAAACCAATTTCCCTGTACACCAGTTCAGTTCATTCACATAAAATCTGTAAACCCATTTCGGATACAGTATAGCAAATTCATCAATGGCTGCAATGTCAAATTTGTGTAGGAAGATGTTCTGTGACAGTGACAAGAGGGTCGTAGTTGTATGTTGACTGAATGAGTGGCGTGGGAAACAAGGCTGACATCCCGGGGCGAGTATCCAGCCGCCACGGACAAACATCCGTGACGTCACATCCGCCTCACACCACATTGATGACATGGCGCACCAAGGTCGCTGTCGCCTGGACCGGAACTAGCGCTTTCACTGTGTGTGCATTGTTTCCGGTGTCACCAGGGTCGCTTAGTCTTGCTTGTGTTCAGGTTATGCTTTCATGTATTCTAATGTAGAAATGATTGTATATGACAAATCGGGTATATACATACACGATAGTGTGCGTTTTTCGGTTTCTTTGGCAAAATATAGACATACACATGTATTTCGAATTCAATATTTGATAACTATGATTGCTAAAACCTTGTTCGTTGGGATTTCGTATTTTCTCAAAATCAAATTTAAAAAGTGGTATCTTTTAATTCTGAACTTTTACATCTGTTGTCCAGAAAGTTTGTTTGTTTCTGTGTGAGACAGCCCGGTATGTTTCGTAATTAGAACGGTGCATAAAATCCAAAGTGACAAAACTAATCCACAAAAACGACAATATGGAATATTTCATCTATCCCTTTTCTGTCCAACCGCCTTTGGTGTGCAGATTTAACAACCTTTCGGGTACAATCGAATTCCTTACTACAAAGATATCCCCACATAGCACCATTTAAACAGCCAGGTCAGGGTTACAGAATTACAAGCCTCCGTGATGTTTCCGAAACATTGTATGGTAGACATGTGGAGGACATTTCCAAATCTGACGCACCAGTGAGCAAAATGGCATCTGATGTTCACCCCAATGTGGAGGTGTACCCTATTTGTTCACCCCAACGTGGAGGTGTACCCTATTTGTTTCCGTGTGTGTGCAGGTGACAAGTTGGTTGCCATAACAAGTGATGAAGACAGTGCTGCCGATGGGAACACCCAGGTATCATCAGGATTTGACAGTGATTCATTAACATCCAGCCTGAATCGTACAGTCGTTTCTGCTTTCAACAAAGACTTCAAATGGTATTGAAAATCCAGCTGCTGGAATATCAAGGAACAAAAAAGGAAAGCTGACTAATGTGTACAGTCTTTTAAACTCTGAACCTTTAAGAATAAATCTGACACATCTTTTTGTTATTCCAGATGTGTGAATCAGTGGAATAAAATTAGCTTATCTGAACGTCATTGAATGTTCTGAATCAAGCAGAAAGTTCATACTGATACCATACGAACTCTAAAAGGTGCACCACCGGTAACACCCGTACAAACACATACATGGACGTGTGTAGCGACCAGAACTGGGATAAAAAGTCCACAACTTCGTAAAACCCCATTTACTGCTGTACTACTTCCGGTTAACTCTAAAACTTAAGGCGATCTATGCGCGGAATATGATTTAGTTTATGTTTTTGTGGGGAAACACTGAAAATTATCAGATACATGTTCAGCTAACGTAAATAGTTACAAGTATCCATGTTGCTGTACAAACTTACAAATTTCTGCACGTGATAATGTATTTCCCACAAGCTGCTTAACCTCACACCTTAAATACATTCACACTTCGTCACAAGTTCTACTCAGTGGTGAGGAATACACTATCCCTCCTCTGATTCATGTGTTGGGCACAGGTTAACGTCAGCATTACACCAGCCATATTATTTATGATCGAAGGTAAAGTAGTCACAAGTGTTGTAATCAGCTGATTCATATACTGGTATCAATTTCCCGGATGGGCGCGTTTATTACACCAGTAAATGCCGCTTCATACACATACCGAACGACGTTCTCTGTACATGAGCGAGTCTACCGATAGGTATAGGCCACGAAATGGAGCCACCTTGTTTAGCATGAATATTTTTTTCAAACATTTGCTCGGGCAATTTATATTTTTCGGCAAAACGTATAGTTAATGAATTAATAACAGAAAGTAGATCCACCTAATTCTAGATTATCCAATCTACCGCGTCTCCACGTTTAGCTTCTTCTGGAAACTATATTTATGATTTCATATTGTCTGGGGCGGTGGGGTAACCTAGTGGTTAAAACGTTCGCTCGTCCCACCGAAGACCCGGGTTCGATTCCCCATATGGGTACAATGTGTGAAGCCCATTTCTGGTGTTCCCCGTCGTGATATTGCTGTAATATTGCTAAAAACGAAGTAAAACCATATTACTCGCTCGCTCATATTGTTTGCAGTTGTATAAGCATTCTGTATAGTTGACACTTTGCGTTATCCTTGAATAAAACTTGACTTCAATATGTTTCTCGTTTTTTTTAGTTATATACGTGCAAACCCATGAACTGCACGGATTTAACGCACTGGTTTTACGTTTCAACTTCCATACACTCGAACAATGTCGAAGTAAACAAAATCTGTATCTTTCGAATAGTTGATCGTCCCTATACATTTCCATAGGGTTGAAACGATCCCGGAAAGTCCTCTGAATATGCTGTTTCTCTTAGAACGAAGCTGACGAACGAGTCGAATCACTTTAGCCATCTTTAATGCTACAAATATTGTCTTAAGTCTACTCAGGGGCAGTCTTAGGACTTACGATCAAATTTAGGCTTAGACTTTAGATTTTCTCAAAGATCGAGATTCGTGATCACCGATTTAAGACTAAATTTAGTCTTAAGTCTAAATTTTAAGAGTTAAGACAAAATATGGACTTAGGACACTTTCATGATCCCGGGGCCTGGCTCCGGCATAACCTCTATCATCACTTATGTCAGTCTGCTTTTTTTCGAACAACAGGTTACTCGACATAGTTTCGCTATCCCCAATTGTTTGGGTTAACCAGGTTTCACTTAAATTGTTTCCATTATGTTAAGTTTAAGTGGAACTAATAATGACAAGAGGGGCCCTTTAAACGGTCATATCCTGTCGCTTTCCACACATTTGTTACACAACCTGTTTTGGATCACAAGTTTTGATGTATTTCGTCGGAAAAATGACTTTTGTCCAGAATTAGTTGGTCCATGGTAATGAGATGACCTGAGGACATAGTTGTGGAAGTTATCAGATGTGTTCATATCATAAAATGAATTTTATAAATCACAACAGTGAAATAATCAGAATGAATAAGACTAACAGAAATTATAGTCGACAAAGGTGTCACCTGTGATGCGTAACTAGATGCGGCACGTGCAAATTATAGGACGTGTTTTAGTGTTACGTTTCACAGACCTAAATGTTCCTGAACTGGTATTTGTCGTCAAAACTTTTCTTTGTTCCAATACTTGGCTGGCTATTGACATAAATATTTATGATCCCCATCTCCTGTTAAAGGTACATTTGATATTGTCGGAATTAAACAATGGAATCTGCTCATAATTAAGTTGAAATGTTTGGGCAACTTTTATCTTAATGTTCAGTGTGTCAAGATGTCCATTTGTCATCTCCTACATGGGATGAAAACGACAGTCCTGTTAAATGACAGAAAATAACAGTAGTTGTGTTCCATCCCTATGCACTATACACTATACAGTATGTGAGGGTGTATTGTCTCCCGCTCCTCCCGGTAAATACATAGTTGTCTGTTTGATTACATATCCCGCCACCATACACTAATGACATGTTCAACTTTCATTCACCGACAGCTCCGCTTAATATCGGAAATGACCGGAGATTTACGACCAGGCACGGACATGAAAACCGGACGAAATATGACATCACCGGAACAGTACGAGTGACAGGTCATAGAGTTGATGTGTCTGGTTGGATGATTTCTTCATTCAGCACGTCTCGGTGTTCTTCACGTTTAAGGTGAAGGTCAAGGGTATTTACTACAGGAAAAACGATTCATGACACCACTACAAAATTTCGATTGATTTTGATTGGCTGACTAAACAATGGCTAATTTATCTCTTGTGTTACCAATTTTGACTTTACAATGTTCCCTGATTTACGACCCTTTGTGTAGGCGTGAAAACAACGTATAAATGCCGAGGGGTAGACTAGAGCTTCACAGTGTTCTACCCAGCAGTGTTGGACAGCCCTATACCAGCTGCGAAAATGAACTCGCTGATATTTCTCGGTGTTTTGGTTTATGGAATAGGTAAGTTATTTTTAACACTGAAACCTCGTTATTCCGAACCCTTTTAACAAGGAACGACACCTTGTGGACATTTGCTGCCGGAACGCTTGTATTTATACAATGTAACATTAATCCATGTCCAGTTTGGTTAAGCCGTGAGGTTTTAGTAGGAAATGTCGGTAGTAACGGAGTCTCGCTCTGTCAGTATTCACTGTGACAACTATTTGAATGGCACGTTATAATATTGGTGCATCACATTTTCAGTTCGCCATTATTATTATTTTCACCAGTATTTCGTCTTTTATGTCAAGTGGAGTCTATGTCAGCAGATGATCAACTCTGACTGTTCTCTTGTGTCGTCTTAAATTCCTATTTAATGCGTTAATCACTGGCCATACAAAAACTGCAGTTTTAATCTCCAAATTTAATGAACAACAAAGCTAGTCATTTCGGTTTGATTGTAACACGCCTATCCTCCGTTGGGATTAAGGGACGAAAAAAAGTCAATCACCGTCAAATGTACTAATGAAGGACGGTGATTGGCTGATTTTGCATTATTGTAGATATATCTTTGCTCATGCTATGAACCACTCGTTCACCTGGCCCAGTAGTCATGCACGGGCTGTTGCGGTATGGGAGGAATATCTTGCAACCATCTGGTCATGTGACGTAGCAGTCAGTTCAAAACCACACTGCTTTTGTTACGCATTGTTATTATAGGGTTAGGATATATTAACTGTCAGTGACGCTTCTGTGCATATTTTTACACAGTTGCCAAATAGGTCGGTTTAAAGATATTAAATCCATTTCGCTATATCTGAACGAATTTCATGTACTTTCAGCCTTAGTGAGTGGGCGTTGTGCCCCTAAACCCCTCTGTATGATGGCGTGTCCCTACGGCTTGGCGACAGACGACGAGGGATGCGAGATTTGTAAATGTGCACAGCCCATTGTCGAAAGAAGTAAGTATAGACGGAACCCAGTTAGAATCCGCGGTCTTGTCCACTTCGTCACATAACATACGCAAGTTTTGACAGGTTATACAGCACGTGATTATACGTTCGATATCTGTCGCATGATTTACTGTGGTATTGTTAGGACTTGGAATCTAACGATATATGCATTGGTTCGTGCTGTTCTCAATCCTATCATATCGTTGCCATTCTTCTTTAGATGTCCGTACTTATTGTACGACATTAGCGGATTCGATGGTGCTTCTGAGTTCCGACCCCACCATACTAAAATATAATATCGTCATTACGGACCAGAACTTCCGTTTAACTCCCATACCTTAACATTTAAGAGAACAGTCTGTTTTATTGAGAACAGTCTGGAAATGAACAAAATTGCTATTCCGGATCTCCCAAGAACCGATGTCTTACATAAATAATGCGATATTGACTGATCAGTGGAAACTTGAATATTTTCGATTTATCCAGACTTCTACAAAACTCGAATGTGTTAGTGGCAGCTCAAGTGTGTAAAGCAATATAGTTAGCCGGTATAGTGTTTCAGTGTCTGGAGCTTGAATCTCAGATTTACCCTGATGATGATCCTAGGATTGTCAGCACAACGTGTGTGAAAGCATTAAAGAACGCTGGTTGTTGTTGGTTTGTTGTTTAACGCCGCACTCAGCAATATTCCAGCTATATGACGGCGGTCTGTAAATAATCGAGTCTGGACCAGACAACCAAGTGATCAATAACATGAGCATCAGTCTACACTACTGACATGTGTTAACCAAGTCACCGAGCCTGACCACCTGGTCCCGTTAGTTGCCTCTTACGAGAAGCATGGGCTGGTGAAGACTAGCCGAATTGCGGTCCTATACAGTCGCGGCTCTCGGCTGGTGAAGACCAATTCTAACCCGGATCTTCACGGGTATTAAAGAACGTATTTACCGTCAGGTAACTGAGGTACCCGTCAAGAGACATTAAACCTATCTAGGATCGTCCAAACAGTAGTAGTAGAACACCTGCACAGAACATGTGGTATATGTAGATTTGAGTCGCCATGACTGATCAGGAATAATTCCAGTCAACTATCATTCCCAGCAACAGTCCTGGTGACCCCGTGATATTGCTGCGATACTGCTACAAGCGGTGTACAGTGATATTCACTCGCCCTTTTCTAGCAAAGGCTGCGAATGCTTCAGGTCAAGAGTGTCTAATCAGGTCCCAATAAAACTGTAATAAAACAATAAATGCTCAACACTCTCATACCGTAGTCCATACTTGTTAAAACCCTTCATTACAAATAACTTCAAACATTGATTTATCCCCTTCGGGTCCTGCCTGAGTGGAATGACATGTACGTTCATGGGGTATCTTGTGTTTACACGACCCGTGAAGATCCAGGGCCCACATTTTCGAAGCTCTCTTACCGCTAAGATAGTCGTAAGTTAATGTTAATGTATGGCACTTACGACTATCTAGCGCTAAGAGAGCTTCGAAAATCTAGGCCCAGGTCTTCAGTAACCCATGCTTGGCGTCAGAGGCGACTAACGAGATCGGGTGGTCAGGCTCGGTGACTTGTTTGACACATGTCATCGTATCCCAGTTGCGTAGATCGATGATCCTGGTGCCAGTCACTGGACTATCTGGTCCAGACTGGCATATTTACAGACAGCCGTCACACAGCTGGAACATTGCTGAGTGCGGCGTCAAACAACAAACCAACAAACTGTATTTACACGACTGACCGGTGTGCTTACAGGGCAGGTCAAGTGTCCACCCAAGGCCATGTGTATGATGAACTGCCCCAATGGATTCGCCACAGATGACAACGGTTGTGACGTGTGCAAGTGTAAAGGTAACACTCCCATCCAGCCTTGTTTTTCTTTCACCGTCATGCCAAAGCGGCGTAAAACCCAACTCACTCACTCTTTTCATGCTTGATATTACTTTTTACGATCATACGTTTGATTTCAGTTTAATGTATCGTAGGTTAGCGATATTACGTTCAAAACAGAAAGTATACTTAAAAGGACACTTCTACGTTGATTTACTAGTTAAATATGATATATTTGTTTTCGGCACGAGTTTACATTTGAAGCAAGGTAGGAATCATGTGGTTTCACATGTATGTCTTACCCCAGTCTTTACTGATCCAATGTATATAAATATATTTACACATGATTAACAAGCCATAAAGTTTATACAATAGGTGGAGAATAAATAGACGTAATCAAATTTAATAAAAGTCCTTTTAATTTTCAGTCATATAAAAAACAAACTCGGGTGGACTTCTGAGGCATCTAAATCTATTGCATTAATATTCTGATCTGGCCTTTGGACGACCATATTTCAGTCACAGAGGTACTAAATAATGGCGCTATTGTTTATTGCAGATACCGTGTGCCCGGATGTAATGTGTATGATGAACTGTCCACATGGCTTCGAACGTGACGAGAATGGCTGTGAAAGATGCAAGTGCGCCGGTATGTTGTTTGGACCGTGTGGACTGACAGATAATGTACTGTTTTTATAATGGATTTTTAAAATTATTTCTGAAAATGGCGGTCAGTATTGTATTGTTTCTACTTGTATATAGCTGCCTCCTGCGCGGCATGACATTGCTGATGAAAACAGGTAAAACGGCCATGGAGTATATAAATATTGCTACATGTCGTTAACAAATCGTGTTTAATTTTGGGGGAAATAATATATGCACTATCGTGTCTCTGGATTATATAATCCATCGATCACGTGATTGTCTGGTTTGTACTCAGACCGCCGTCGCAGCCGCGTCATGCGACAAACACTTCATGCAAACTGTGTGAGTGACATGCGTACTATTCGTTAACACTTGGTGTCTCACTGATTGTCAGTGATCAACTCAATTTAATTTTCTCCGCTAGTTTGCTGTAACGCCTAAAGGAATCTGTCTCTGGCTTTTCTATAGCGCTTTTATTATCTATATTTCATTTGAATATGCAGATATGACTGATATCAACTGGTGTCCCATCATTTCCATTGTGACACCGTTGCGTTTTTCATGCTTATGTACAGGGGTGAATGGTCAGATATGTTTCTGTTGATAGGCGTTATGAGTAATAGTCTGTTGTGTCATGAGTGACATAAAATGTTTAACGCGGAAGTCAGCGGTATTCCAGCTCTATCACGGCAGTCTGTCGGACAATCTAGTGGTTGATATTATGCGCGGCTAAGTGAGATACACAAGCGAGGCATTTGGCCCTGTACTGTATATTTTGTTCGCCCTTTCGCGTGATAAATTTATTATTTATCTAATATATATCTGTAATTTGTTGCATGCAAATACACTCACCATTGTGGTATTCACTCGTACGATAGGGCATCTGTTTATTCAACTGTATTTCTTTTAAACATTTTTGTTCAACAGCCAATCCAGGATGTTCCCAAAGACCAATGTGTAGGATGTCCTGTCCGTTTGGGTTTGAGAAGGACGGGGAGGGTTGTGACGTCTGTCGATGTGCAGGTCAGTTCTACAGAAATACGTCACGTTTACACATCCCCGAATATACCCTGACTGAATCTGTGATATACAGAGAGTATTGGCCAAGTGTGCTCTACATCGTTAATATCACACCGTTAACGAAGACGATATATATGTTTAATATTGTATATTTAGAATACGGAAACACACGAGGGTAATGCTCTCGTTTTGTCATGTCTTTCGTAAAGATAAAGTGTGTGTTAAAATGGTTACTTTATTATTTTCTGTCTCCAGCAAATCCTGCTTGTGCAGAGAAACCCATCTGTAGGATGATGTGTGAATTTGGCTTTGAGAGAGACCAGGAGGGCTGTGATGTCTGCAAATGCGCAGGTATATAATTCACGACACTAAACATGTAGCCTACTACAAACTACGTTTATAACGAACTCGCTTTTAACGAAGTGACGGATATAACGAACTGCTTTTTGGTCGCTGTGACTTGCTGTATATTTTTGTCCAAATGCCTTAACGAACAAGGGTTATAACGAACTAGATATAGTGTGGAGCGTTCGAGTTCGTTATAACCTCAGTTTACAAGTCAACCCGACTCAAATGCAACTCACAGTACACTCTGCAGACTGTGATCCTATGGCCATCTTCGGGCTGCTGGGAATCCATACTCGAAGCAGAAGTAGCCAGATTTCTAGTTCACATGACTGCCACAGTTCAAAATAGTGTCATGAGACTTATATAGGTGTCTACCTAACTTCTGTGTCTGATTTTCTAATGACCTTTTCGAAAACCGAGTGATGTATTGTATGGGTATCAATACACGTAGAAGATCGGGCAGTACATGGGTTACACTAACATCACTTGCCACTGCAGTCCGAGGTATCACACCGGTGCATGTACCTAAACCTGGAACAGGGATGTTCCAGACTAACAGGCTCCAGACTGACGGGTTATCCAGTCTGACATGGGCTGTTTAGACGGGTCACCCGTGTATATTAAGACTCCCACTAACCATTGCCCTATATCAAAACTTTAAGTATAAAGCCTGAAACTTCTACGCTACTTATACACATATTTGTATGCGTATATTGCAGACAGCCCAGTGTGCGCCCAGAAGCCTATCTGTAGGATGATGTGTCCACACGGCTTCATGAAAGATGAGGAGGGCTGTGATGTCTGCAAGTGTGCACGTAAGTTACTAAACTCTAGTCTTAAGATTCAGTCTAAGATGGATAGAACTTGGGGAGACATTTATGTCTTAATATATCAATGTGTCCATTTAACTCTGCATGAGCGCCAACATGATATGGGTACAATGTGTGAAGCCATTTCTGGTGTCCCCCGCCGTGATATTGCTGGAATATTGCTTAAACAGCGTACAACTAAACTCACTCACTCACTGCATGAGCGCGCTTGTGTACGTTGTGTATCCCAGCGTTGTCAGTGCTAAATTTGCTCATATCACCAATGCCTGTGCTCGTTGGTTGAACAAAATTACTAATCTTAGAGATACGACTAAAATAATTTAAAGCGACGTTACATCCCACTCATTAACTGCAGAGTTTATGCTATATTTATTCAATACTTCCACAGCCAGCCCCAACTGCCTCAACAAACCCATGTGCATGATGTTCTGTCGAGATGGCTTCGAGAAGGATGATGAAGGATGTGACATTTGCAAGTGTGCAGGTGAGCTTCCGTGGATGTCCTCTGGTGAAAACACCGTAACTCGTAGCCTCGGTGACCTTCGAACAGACACCGTACCTGCGGGTTTCACCAGCGTGTCAAACGTCTGAGACGTTTTGGCTTTCACACAACAACAGGCTGCATTGTATATAGCTGAATACAGGGGCGTAGGAACAAGGTGTGTGTGTGTGTGTGTGTGTGTGTGTGTGTGCGTGCGCGTGCGTGCGTGCGTGTTAGCCCCCCACGTTTTTCAAGACGAAACCATATCTACCTTACCATAACTGCAATTTCGCTTTAATTTTCAATACTTTTCATAAATTAGCCCCCCCTCCCTCCTCTGAAAACCGTTCCTGCGCCCCTGGAATATATAGATGTTCTAAGCGACCTAATCGTTAGTCACCCGCTCACACAGTGGACTCACTCAATCAAACCGGAAGTATCCTAGGCTGTGTTCAACGTCTGTAACGTGATATCATTTTATTGCCTTCGTCATCCGCAGTGTTCGGGTAATGCTTTTGGGTAAAAGTGGCCGTCATTAATTTGATTCCATACACAGTGGTATATGAGTTTGATAACACGTATTCATGTGTTCCCATATGCTTGTATGACATGTCATTTCAGCCGCCAAGTGTCCACCTAAGGCAATGTGCATGATGAACTGCTCGAAAGGCTTCAGGAAGGACACCAATGGCTGTGACACCTGCAGCTGTGAAGGTATGTGTCCCGTGTCTGTACAAGTCACAGGACTGGAATATTGCTTTCTATGTTACCGTGTTGTCAGGTGTATACTATATATTAAAGCAATTCGATATAAATTGATATGACTATCCGGTAAATATGCAAACATTAGTCTTAATGAATCTTATTCAGTGCAAATTTAAAATGTCTTTCTTTCCCCAAGAAATGACACTTAAACTCGAAAGCTTACAATATGTTTCTTTTGCGTTCATGATGTTGCAACCCGTTATTCACTGAAACACTTGGTGAAAATTAGCTCAGTGACAAGAATACATATAAAGTATAAGGGACACCCCATATCTCCCGTTTATAGCGAAACACTAAAAGACAGCACAACATCTCAGTATGTGCCTCTGTTATAGATGATTCGTGCCCCCAGAAAGCAATGTGCCTGATGATGTGCCCAAATGGCTTCGAGAAGGACGACAACGGCTGTGAGACGTGCAAGTGTGCCGGTAGGTACAGCCTGGTGGTGGCTTCAGATCTGAGCTATTCCCGGACTATGTTCTATGTTCGTCAGCAGCACTGTATTGGTTGGTTCCATGGAGGTGTTAAACGTTTTGTCACGCCTACACGTCGTGGTGACGGAACGTATGCTCATAGCTCATGTTAAGACAAACACTATTGAAAACGTTTCGACTTTACGACATAGCCTTCATCAAAAGTGTGCTCATAAATGTGAAAAGATACAAATATACGTCCAAGGAAATGTTCCAGGCAATGAAATATTTGAGACACAGTAGTTCTTGAATGGAGTCTCTCTATCACGAGACGTTGCAGCTTGCTATGGAGAGATGTTTTTCTTAGCTGTGTCATGGGTTCAAATATTGGATTTGTTTAGTAATGATAGTTGATTTGGCAGAACCATTTGGTTTCCGACGAAATGGTAACCATTTACAATTTTGGCTTACCGAAAACAAATCGAACATGCGTGATCAACTACACTAAAGCCACTTCATTCAGTTCCCTCACTCACTCATTATCATCTGTTTTGGTTTTCTCCAGCTTCTTCCAGTTTAAGTGACAAGTGTTCCCCAATACAGTGCTACAAGAACTGCCCCTTCGGGTTCCGTAAGGACCGCAAGGGATGTGACAAATGCAAGTGCTACTGGCCAAGACCGAAGAGTAAGTGAAATACAACATGATACATTTGTACATAGACGATTAAAGAAACAAGTACTACTTAACGTGTTTCACGACCACTGCATGGCGGATAGTAAAAGCTGACCATTGCTAGGATTTCGGAGTTTTAAATCCGAGCTAATGTCACATAGTACGGCAGATAATGGAAAAATCGTTCCCTTTGTAATACAAGCAACAAAATTTGCATACATGTTCACTTTGGTACACTTACTGAAATAATAACGTTGGCCAATCCCAAATTCAAAGATAGCCACCATTTTTCAAAATGGACGCCATTTGTATTACACTATTTTTGTTTCTGTAACAAAGGTTCGCTGTGATTTTCAACGTATTTGTGTCTTAAACATTCTAGTTCACCCTTTAGCTGGTTCAGTCTCTACATTATTTGTCACAAAGTGGCTTCTTCTGTTTACAGAAATCTGCCGGAAAGTGAGATGCCGCATGGACTGTCCCAACGGTTACAGGAAGAATCGCCGAGGATGCGAGACCTGTAGATGTCGCTGGTGAAGACAACACTGTGCCATGGTTACCAAGGTGTGCTGTCTTTACATACGTCGTGTGTACGCTACTAGATCGTACTTGACCAAATATATAGGCCATTAGAAAACGGAAGTGACAAATTATTAAACAAATTGCGTAAAGTTTTCAGTCTGTTTTACATACATAATTACTGTTGTCGTTTATGCCATGTCTAAAATATTTTGTCTTATCTTAGTATTTTATGACTTTGTTTAATGCTGCGCAGCAACATTATAGCTATATGACGGGGTCTGTGAATAATCGGGTCTGGGCCAGACAATCCAGTGATCGATATCTTGAGCATCGATCTGTTGACTTGTATTATTATGGATCCATTCTGCTCCACAGCTTCATTTTCACTAGTTTATGCACAGACATTATCTCCCTCCTGACCCTTCAGATTCTGTGACACATATATATAGAGAGAGTCTGGTAATTCTGAACAGGCTAAAAACTATTTTGTCAATGCAGTTGTCTCAGAACAGCAGATTAACTCTCTGAAACACAGAATTTTCGGATGTAATTTATTCCGATAAATGTTATGTAAAACATAGAAATTCACAAAATACATAGTTCAATCTATGATGATCTTTTTCTTCAAAAATTTGTATATATAGGTTGGAATTTCAATACTTCATTTACAGAAAACACTGTTATCGTTGAAAGACACACAGTAAAATGGGACGGTGTACATGGTAAATGACAAGCGATGGAGAGTGGATATGGTTATTATGCCCCATTTAACAATATTCTAGTTTGGGATGGGTGGGGAATTACAACCAGATCTGAGATTAGTATCCGCTGCAACCAAGGCATAAATGGTTGAGTCTACGTACAATTTACATCCATACTAGCAGCCCCATACGCCTTGTTAGTAGTCCTCAGGTTAAAGTGTTCGCTTCTCAACACGAAGACCTAGGTTCGATTCCTCACATGGATGCAATATGTGAATCATATTTCTAATGTTCCCCTGTGTGATACTACTGGAATGTTACTAAAAGCGGCGTAAAACCATACTCACTCATTCACCCTGTTTCTTTATTCAGGTCGAACCCGCGATAGAAGCAAGACCTATGAGGCGACAGTTGCCGAGAGGTTCGTATGTCAGAACCGGGCCCATCGCGTGAAGTGCTACTCAACAGACAGCGTTAATCTTTTATACATGTTGTTACGAGAATAAATCACTTGATGTGGAATGTGTGCATTATGTTGTTCTTAGCATATGTATATATACATACATACATACATACATATATATATATATACATATATATATATATATACACACACACACACACACACACACACACACACATCGGACGGTTACACAGAGGAGGTAAACACATGTAAATACTGAGGTCAGGGTTTGGGTACGAGATACACATGTACTTTTAACTTTGATAAGGTTCTGTCTAAAGTCGTGAAACACGTCGTGCAGATCACATTCTGCTGTTACTGTCACGATAGTTTACTCTGTAAAACACTGTGAGTCGGAGTCCTGGGATCACCTCTTGTCGATATCCCCACTATAACAAAGAAAGTCTTAGACGATATATGTCGAAAGTCTTAAAATCATATGATGTGGATATAAGACGAGTTACATATTCCGATATATGTCGATCCGTTCTTAAAACGTCCTGGGATCCGTTCCACAAAGTTGTCGTAGCCAAAGTGATCATAACTCCATATTGTGTTACGACCCTTGTTCACTTCCGGTCGTGTTGTGCGACGGGCCCGGATGAACTAGAGCCCGACTAGAGGATCGTCGGTCATTATACAGATATAATGTAAACATGTAAACGTCCAAGCGATACTATTCCGGTAGCTGTGGTTCCGGATTCATGGCGTTCGGGTTAATGAAGTTTCGCAATCTTCTCAAACATGACATGAACGTAGCATAAACACACAACATGGCAGTTTACGGTTTGCCGTACATGTGATGGGGCTTCAGATCTAAATACATCATCTGAACGTGGACAACGCCAAGTGAGTGCCGGCATCAGAATACAATGTGAAGTTGGGCCTCCATGGCCCAGTGGACCGCCTCCGTGGTGTAGTGGTTAGAGCGTCCGCCCGGAGAGCGGAAGGTCGCGGGGTTCGATCCCCGACCGTGTCAAACCAAAGACGTTAAAATATGGTACTTGTTGGTCCCTGCCTGGCGCTCGGCATTAATGGGTACAACAAGGACTGGTCGGCTCGGAGTCAGTATAATGTGTCTGAGTGGGGTATTCATGCTTCACTGCGGCATGGTATCTCAGTAGGCTAGCACTGTAAAACCAGCTTAGGTTTGGGCTAGTACAAGCAGCCGCACATACACATACACACGCATGCACGTCGTCATATGAGCGAAATAGTCTCAAGCACGACGTTAAACCCAATTTCACCTCCTCACCTCCATGGCCGAGTGGATAGAGCCCGGCTGGCGGTGGTTCTATTCCAGCGACCTCCATACCAACACATATTGTAGGTGGTACTTGTTGCAGCTAACGACGACTGGTCAGCTAGGGGTCAGCTAGGGGTCCGTATACTGTGGCTATATGTTTCACTGATACCTCAGTGGACGAGAAGCAGCCAAACACACTACCACACGGCTAACTAAAATAGATAATTACGTCATTATACGTGTGAGTTAGTGTGTGAGTGAGTTGGGTTTTACGGCTAGCACATTTCCGGCAATATCACGCCGGTTGACACCAGAAACTGGCTTCACACATCGTAGCCATGTATGGAATCAAACCCCGGCTTCCGGCGTACCACAAGACTACCCCAGCGCCCCTATAAAACATGTACACACCAATCAATGACGACCTGAAGACTTTTCCTCTGTAACTAAAGCAACTGTGTGATAGTAGGAACATTTCACCATTTTTACATGTTGGTTCGGCTTGAAGAATTCCACTGGTTTGGGAACATCTGAGCGAAACAGGTACCTGTGACCTTTGCCCTCGGGGTGACCTAACCTACCATCACTGCCACACCCCCAGGTGAACACCCGCCCCGACACACTGACGGCTGAGCTGTGTATCCCACCCGACGACACATGCGCGATTGCCTCGTTCTGGAAAGACGACGGCAGGACCTTCGTTGGTTCAAACCGTGGTTCTTGGTCCCCCGTTCCCAGTTTACCCTTATACCCATCCCCCCACGAGAATACCTCCGCATCCCTGGTGACGGCAAGGGTGTGGCCGTGATGTTCCCCCACGCTGCAGCTTATTTCAACCACGTCCACACCAGAGAGGCTATTAACTACGGCAGGGACGAGTTTATTGTTGAGTGTTTTCTCCCCCAAGCCAAGAGCTCCATCTGCGCCTTTGCCAAACATGTAGACGGCACCGTCTTTGGTAACTGCGCCGCAATGAGCGTACCCTGCGTCCATGAAAACTACGTCTTTGACACTCAGAGCCTCTATTTCTTTCGGGGTTTGGGAGTCTTCCTCTGTGCCGTGCCCCAGCACGCCATGTCGGCCGCACCCCCAGGAGAATGCCCGACCAGTCTCGGTCCACGCTAAAGTATAGTTGTGACCGCAGGAGACACCAATGAGTCGATCTGGGGTAAAATTGGGCACGGGAATAGGGGATAGGATTCCCTGGGGGTCATGATTGATACCTGATACCCCACAAGCTCTCGGGTACCCCCAGCTAAACAGGTGACCGTCCTCCGAGACAGCTGCTCCATGCCACGACCCACAGGACACCTGAGTATAAATACAGAGAAAGTAAGTGAGTGAGTGAGTAACCATGTAATATACAAGGTTATATAATGCTGATAATTCCTGTCCCAGCAATGGCCTTAATAGCCGTGTTAGATATCGGAAAGACACCTGGTTGGAGTTGTCACTCGTAGTGAAGTAAGCGACATAAATAGATAAATTCCCTGTCCTGCCAAGTCTAACTGTTCAAATACTGATATCACCATATCATCAAATGAAAACATTGGAGAATGCCTGTCATTTATCTTTGTTGAAAACAACTCAACAATACAAATCACTGTATATAGGTGTGTGAGTCCAACCTGGAGCAACGGAGTGTTAAGGGGGTGTCATTGACTTTGTACATGACATGCAGGGCTGGGGAGGGGAGGGTCAATTACTTTACGATTTACGGGGTTCAACTTTGCACGTGGAACTTTTGACCATGCATCGTGCCCTTTTACTCATTTACAAAAATAACGTCTTTGTGCCTGTTGCTCCGAATTCCGATCTTATTCTTAAAAACAAATTCTAAGATTTTTAAGATAGCTGGTATACAGTACGTGCAGCGTTATTAAAACAACATACAAATAAATTATTTCAGATTGACCTGTTGACTTTTTAATTTGAATAGAAAGACAGAGAGGGCGTTATGTTAAAAAGTAACGTACCTGAATGACTCTAGTATTTTGTGGGAATTTCACAAGTGAAGGAGACAGCTGATCTCCATCACTTCCACAACCAAGGCGACCATGCTTTCCACATCCGAAACTGAGGACCTGGCCATCATCTTTCAAGCAGCTTGTGTACAAGCCACCGCTTGAAATTTGACTGAAGCTTACTTGGCCTGCGACATTTCTGTTCGTCAATCGTTGAGGAGTGTGACAGGTGTTTGTTGTACCGGTTCCAAGCTGCCCAGCTTTACCAAACCCCCACGTATACACCGCCATGGCAATTTCTAAACAAAGCGTTTACAAATGACCAGGTTGCATTCAATTTAACAACATTTACTACATGCAGGAGTAACTAATGTTTAATAATAACTGCTGGTTCATGGTCTTGCGAAAACAACAAAGGGGCATAACCGCTTTAGTAGATCAATAACCGGACGCTACCAGAATTTTTCACAGCTTCACGGCATTATGGGTATTACCAGTCGCAGATTCATTGATTACTTATATATTAATTATCTTAGTACGTACGATAATTTAGTACGTAATTTCCTGTACCAAGTGATTGAATGGTGCGTACCCCCTTGGTGAGAATTCATTCACTGGGTCACTTCTACAAGATAGCAAGATTATCCATTGCTATTTCGAGAAAGAAAAATCTACTTATAAAATATCAGTGTTCCAAAGCACCATCACTGAAGTCAACCTATTGTTCTGATAAAGTCATAAATAATGGATGACTTCACATCAAATTGTCAGAAAAATTATCAACGTACGTAACGCGTCGAGTGAACAAACAGCACCGAAATAGTTAAAGGAATATTTGTAAATATCGGAAACGTATATCTAGATAAGTGCGGGAAAAAAACACATTAATGTTCACAGATATCTTCTAGGAAAACAGAAAGAATGGTTTTAGTACTTTTGGATACATAAACCTGAAAGAGCATTGATGTGTTTCTAGTAGTCTGTCTCACAGTGTCTGAACCACATTATTTTCCCTACTGTCAAGCCCTCTCTGCAGTCGACCGCCTCCGTGGTGTAGTGGTTAGAGCGTCCGTCCGGAGAGCGGAAGGTCGCGGGTTCGATCCCCGACCGCGTCATACCAAAAGACGTTAAAATATGGTACTTGTTGGTCCCTGCCTGGCGCTTGGCATTAATGGGTACAACAAGGACTGGTCGGCTCGGAGTCAGTATAATGTGTCTGAGTGGGGTATTCATGCTTCACTGCGGCATGGTATCTCAGTAGGCTAGCACTATAAAACCAGCTTCAGTCTGGGCTAGTACAAGCAGCCGCACATACACATACACACGCATGCACGTCGTCATATGAGCGAAATAGTCTCAAGCACGACGTTAAACCCAATTTCACCTCACCTCACCTCTCTGCAGTGCTAAAGCCCTAAATAAAGCAAGTCTAGATTTCCTCAGGTATCTCTGGTCTCCCTAGGACTCCTTATCAATTTAAATGGGCTTCTTTTGCTACTATCAAAATTATATATATTAGAGACTAAACATTAGTCTATGTTTTTACTAGCGTGTGTGTGTGTGTGTGCGTGTGTGTGGACCTCTGCACCCCCTCTGGAACCGCCCCTGGCATTACCCTTTTGGACGAGTCAGACGCGCAGGTTTGTCAAAATGGAAGATAATCTTTCGAGACTGTCATATTGTCCATGATTAATACACCATAGAAAAACGTGATTTTTGTGTGCATGTGACAGTCTTTGTTATAAAAAATATACGTTATGTATTTCGAGTGAACTGTCGATTTCATTCTTTCACCCTAAAATACCTAAAATTTTGGTTACTTCACCGGAACGAAATCGTCAGTATGATGTTTCGTAGATGCCTAAGATAGATGAATTAGGATGTTAGACCGACAGAGTGTGAAAATAGTATTAATTATCACCAATCTGAAATCCTCTAAATTTCATTTGAAACCGAGCGCCTATTTCATTTTCGCAGTGAACCGGTCATAAAATTCAGACGTATTTTTTTTCAATTCAATATCTGCTTTTGTTGTAATTTTATTGATTGTCACATGAGATTCGAATATTTCGCGAATATTAATTAAACATGCATGCATTTCATATTTAAAATAGATCTAATGTGTAGCACGATAACACGACGAAGGATGAAAAGTAGAATTATGCCTATAAAATATTTACCACGATAACACGACGAAGGAGTCTCATCGTCTGGTATCATGTTATGTAGTTCATCAAGCTTATCAATAAGATGATCCATCGGAATTTTCTCAATAACTCCGAGTTTATCAGGCAACCTAGTCAAGTTCAGTCTTTTGGCTGTTTTCATAAAAGGTTTCCAGAGCAACATGTTCGCAACATTCATGGTCATCACTAACTCTAGAAAATTATCTCTTGATTGATATTGACTTTCATTATGATAATAATGGAGTAAAGTCAAATGACCATTAGATGCTGAACACGAGGCGTTCAGTTTAATTATCTCTAATGGTGGAGAGACCGTGATAGTATAGGAAAACCGGTTATTACTATCACATACCACTACAAAATCTAATTTCTTATGAGTCGTCACTATCCAACGTTCTGCAGCAAGGTATTCTGCCATAGGTAGAATTGCGTTTGGTCTGATTTCTCTACGACAGGTCTTTTGGACTTTCGTTTCATCTTTCATAAATAGAGCAACTACACGTAGATGGCTTAGATTGATTGGGTAGATGGGACTCTGGATATGGCAATAACCCGTAAGGGGTTTTGTGCATGCCTGTACCTCGGAGGGTTTCAATAATGCATATTTCGTACGCTGTGCATTGACTGCAACTACATCAGTTTCTAAACGATATTCTGCTACCATATGACCGATACCATCTGGTTTCGTGTCTATGCCATTCCCGATCAGTGGTATAGGTAAGTTATGTGCCTGGTATATCCCAAATTGTCCATTAGCATCTAGAAGCGGAATGGACGTAATTACCAAGATCATATTTTCGAATAGCACGGTGGTACATAGTAAGGACTTATAGAAACCCCATAAGTTGTCTTCGGGATCATTTGCTAATCGAAACCTATTAGGAAGATGGACTTGTATGTCCTTTAATAAACTTAGTAACTGTTTTGGCGTTATTGTACTGGGTGCAAGATGTCCTAAGGCCAACATATTAACTTGAAGTTGGAGGTGTTCTAGATAGGATAAAAAGGTTTGTAACATGCCTCGAATATTCTCAATGACAAGTTCTGCCTGTAAATAGGTCTTTGTGACCCATTCTAATTTTGCTATCTGATTTCCCAATGTCATGGATACATTAGCAATTTCACGTTCTACAAAATGTAAATCATCAATAACTTCTTTAATGGTCTGTCTATTCTCCGAGACTTGAATTCTAGTTGTATTTAGGATAGAGAGCCCCTCCTGTATTACGTGTGTCATATCTACTTGGTTTTCTGCAAGCCTCTTCACGTTTTGCTTTATAGTGTTTAGGTCAGCATCAGACACAGTGCCAAACAAGAAACTTAAAGCTTTACCAACAAATGGTAATAGTGAGCGCTTAGGTCGGGCGTGCAACCTGCTATATTCTGCAAAGTTTTCTTCTAGATTATTTAAGGTGGTACTCAAGCGTATTATTTCTTCGTCTAACTTTATATACATACTTAAAATTCCCTCTGATTTATCTGAGTAGAAACGGTTCATAAATTGCCTAACCATCAGTGCAACTTGATCAATGTCATACCTGCATTGCTCAATAAACTGGTTATATGGTTTTAGATCAATAACAAAAGTTACCAACCATTTTGACCTAGTGGTAGTGATATCATTTATCTTTTGGAAGATAACATTTTCATACATTACATTACCCTGAGCAAACCAAACAGGAAGAGGAGAACCGGAGGAAACATGTTCTCCCTGAAACATAAGGATATCGAATCATAGACGATGATCTGATAACCATTAATCTGGATAACCCTATAATAATCCAACCATTGCTCGAAGCAGCTGTTTAACTTGTTCTCCTTTGTTTGTATGTGTGTTTCTAGTAGAGATTCTAGATGATTTTCGTTCAATAGATTCTATTAACATGTCTTCTTCGTCGTTATTAGCTGCAGAATCATGGGGCTCTACCCGTTCGTCATGCTCCTCATTTTCAGAATCAGTTTCAAGTGGTTGATTCCTGGCTCTTAATCGTTTCTGTAATTCTGCCAATGGTATGTAGTCCTCTTCTTCTGAATCTGATCGCTCTTGACGATATCGTCTCGCGATCCGCGCCTTGGAATCAGTGATAATGACTGGATCTGACTCTTCACTACTGGACTCTTCTGGAGGAACAACATATTGGGCCTTCCTTCTGGGCCTACCTGTTGTATCCTTGGGAATTTCCCAATCATCTATTTTTGCTATCCGCAAATGTTCTGCATGTGCTTTTGTTACTGTCCCATCTAGTTGATTCCGAATGATGAATGTAACAGGTGATGTCCGCTCAATTACTCGGTAGTATGGCTTCCATTTGGATTGTAATTTGCTTTTTCGTTGGTGATGTCTGTAATACACAGGATCACCAACGTTTATCTCAATTGGCTTGCTGCATCTGTCAGCATATTTTGCTTGTCTTTTCTTTGCCTTTTTCATATGTAACACAAAAGATGTGTGTTGCTGTTGCAGGGAAATTTTATGTTCCTCCTCCCCCATGGTATTTCTTCCTCGGTTTTAAAAGGTTGTCCAATGGTAGGACAACATCCCGGTTGTATTAGAGGAAAACAATGCATCGTCCACAGGTTGGTTTGTTGAGTGTCCCAATTTCTCTGCAAGTATTACCAAGTTTTCCTCCGGTACCTTATCTTATCTTCCTAACACACACACCCTTCTTAACCTGAATGTTTTGTTTGTGGTGTTCACTATCATAATTGGGACATTCCTATCTTTGTTCATGTACGCTAATGAGTTAATTACTATGAGTCCAGGGCCTAGATTTTCGAACCTTTCTTAGCGCTAAGATAATCGTAAGTGTCATACATTAACATTAACTTACGACTGTCTTAGCGCTAAGAGAGCTTCGAAAATCTAGGCCCTGGTTCACAAGATAAATACCGGTATCTATTTCTGACACTTAGTAAAGTGTGTCATCGCGAAAATATGGCCCTTGTTTTACTTTTGCTCTGCACAGACTTCTACTTTGTGGTTTTAAAATAGTGTCCCCAGACAGACGCACAATGGAGGCAATGTGCAGATCATCTTCCAATGGTACATTGGTTTTTCCTATCCTTAAACTTCCAAGGTCGTAGTAAAGTCGGACGCCATGTTGTTTTAGCCAAGTCTCTTCCCAACATCATATTCCTATTCATGTTGCCTACCACATAAAATTGGTGCGTTAATGTCACTCCTCTCATTTGAAAAGTGATGTCTACACAACCATCTACTTCTAAACCATTCCCATTGACAGATTGTAGTGAAACCTTCTTTTTACTTAACTAATAGAGTCCTTGTAGTTTGTAAAATACCCTTCTGTGAATAATAGATACTTCTGCTCCAGAATCAATCAAGCATCTATAATGTTGTTTCCCTATCCTAACAGTACACGAACTTGGATTTCCTGCTAAATTTATAGTATATACTGTTCTCTCTTTCTCCTCCCCATCGGTGTCATCATGAGGAGTTTTTAGTTTAATGGTGTTCCATTTGGTGTTCTCTCTGTTTGGGCAATCCCTTTTAAAATGCCCCGGTTGGTTGCACGCCCAACACAACACTGCTCGCGGTCTACCAATGGGTTCTGCCTCTTTATTTGTCACTGCATTGACACTATTCCTATTGCCTGACCTACAGTCCCTCGCCTTGTGGCCTGATTGCTGACATTTATAGCACTTGGCTCTTGGGAGGTAATGGTCTACCTCCATGGGTTCTTCCCTACGTTGATCTTCAAGTCCTCTATTGCCCCTTCTTAGTCTCAGGTTAAATCGGGTGCGTAAATTCTGTTCATGCGTAAACACTCCAAAGAAAACAAAAATCAAAACAAATATATAGTTTCATGTCGAATACAACTGATCCCAGTTCATTTATGAAACAGAGGCCGGGATTAGTGAAATAAATAGCTTAAGTTATGTTAACAAGCTCTTGTGTAAAGACATCTCACCACCACCGTCCTTCCCGCACATCCCCTTCTCACAACTAAACAAACACATCTCTGATGGAGTTGCAACCAAAATAGGACATCAATTATTGAAAAGCAGAGGCAAATGGAAGTATGTACTCAGCTATGAACAGTTGTCACAACGTAAATAATTTTCATAACGACTTTTATTTAGCGTGCATTTACACTATCGATAAACATACGACCAAACCGGAAGCACACCAGTGGATAGTTTTCACACGCTCTGCGCATGCGCACAGCGAGTTGAAAAGTAATGTGAAACCAACGCTATTTGAGATTGGTTTCGTCCGGGTTTTTCATTACCTTACTGTCGCGTCCACCAGGTGGCGCTGAAAACGAAAATGGCCGCTACGAGAAAGGTATGTTGGTGGTTATATAGTAATTCATTGCGTACAGCGTTAGGAAGAGTCTTTATTTACTCAGTCAACAATGAACACGCAGTTAGTAATTTTACGTGAAAAACCCTGCACGAGCTCGCATTTCAGCGAATCTTGGATTGTAGGTGAGTGGTGAGCATACTGTACCTGGCTGGCACTCGAATGAACCCTTCAGATCACCTGTGGACTGACGCGCTCTGACAAAGCACGCCCACCCAACAACCGGACTGTTCGTATGCGATCCATAAGTAAAAATTAGCAAGAGTGCAGATTTCCTGGAGCAGTTTAATGTATCGCTGCTATTGTCTAAGATCGCCGACAATGGATCTCGCGCCGACTCGCGGTCCTCTTCGAACTTTAGATATCTAGCATGTTACGGGTCAGCCTAGTCTTGTGGTGTCATGGTTAGGCGAACTTAGGGTATCGTCATCGTTTGGATCCGCTTTCCAGTCAAGCACCCGTTTCTGATGATAAACCCCTTCATGATCCTTAGGGTTAGTTGTGATGTAGGGTGTGAGTTTGGAAAGATTTTCGCCCGAAACACCCGTTTTTTAAAGCATCATTCTGTGCCAGAGAATAGATGGGTTTTTTTAACATAAAAAGCCTTTAGGTTTAGGTTTATAGGGTTAGAACCTACCCCTACAGTCTAACCCGTGGAAATAAATAATAATCCTAATAGAATACATTTCAAGGGGAACAGGGCCAAAGGACAAAAGTGCCCAAACTGAAAAGTCAAAAGGGCCAAAGGAAAGTCTAAAGGGCCATACATAAAATTCAAATACTGAACATACAAACTAATATATCGTCCAAGTCACATAAGTTCGACCGCGTCATGTAACTTCGATCGCCCATTTTGAATGGTAATTGTCGCTAATACGACGTAACGATAACTACGATATCTGCAGCGTTGATATTCTGGTGACACCACTTTTATTCGTTTGGACCGAAAATGTTTCGCGTCAAGTTACCAAACGTAAGTTATAGCTCATATTCAGCAAACAACTACTTTTTAACCCTAGATCAATAATGTAACTTTATCAGCTCCAATAAAATGTAAACAGTATTTATTTCACATGTTGTAAATTGACAGCACACCTGTCTTCTGTTTGTTTACGTTGCTGGTCTAATTGTGACATGTCCAGACACGTGATATCCTTGTCAAAATTTAAAACTTTGGAAACAAGTAAGGGCCATTTCTTATAGAAAACTTAATGCTTTTTGAGAATTTCCGTCAATTTGTACCTGATGATGTTCGAGCTATTGCCTCATTGATAAATACAACCTGGGCACAATGTACCCACCCTGTAGAACACAACACATTTACGATTTTGCAAGCCAGTTAAGTGGTGTTTGTCGACATTCTGAGGTTTGATGCCCGTCACGATGAGCCTGAAGAATAATTTCCTGCATAATACTTCTATATAAGCTGAATATTTGTGACTTTTCATCGTTTTTAGAAGTATTGAAACATAAAATGAACGTTTCATGGACATAAATATCATAAAATTACTTGGGACTGCTCTAGCTCTGAATTTGACACAAGAGATCGTCCTTACAAGTCATCCTGTTTACGCGACAAGCCAGCCAATCATATGATCGAACTTATGTGACGTAGATTTCTGGGTCACTTGTGTTGACAGTGAGAGGGCGGCCATGCCGCGATTGGGAAAAGCAGTAAAAATACCTGGATTTTGGAAATGTTTGACATAAATAAACAAGTTTAGAGGTAAGAGATTTGAAAATAAGATTATATGAATATAACTTTGAAAATTCAGCGACATTTCTTAAGTGATCGAACTTACATGACACAAGAATATATATTTTATACGTTTTATTATATGTGGTATCGATTCCCATAACAGATATTAACAGTTTCAGCAATCTCCATTGCACTGTCATTATATTTGTATCAATATGTAGTAGTAATAGGTGATAATAATTAATAGATATTGTGTCACTCATTCTCAGTCAGCGTGCACATTTGTGATCATGGAAATCGGAAGACATTTTTTTTTTCTTAACACAATTTCTTTGATATGACAACAAGAAGTATTATTTACTTGACCTATATACAGAATGATAGGATACAATGTCTTATGGTTTGTTAATAAACAACAGTTACAAGCAGTGGGGGTATATTTTAGTGTATATATGTCACACAAAATAATTTAATGTTAGATATATGTAAAACTATAGTACAACTTGTTGAGTTGCCATCAATTGCTCCCAGTGTCACCATGCACAGATTTCCCCTGTACCCTGCAGTTCGCGCTAAATGTTTTTTGTTTTTAGTGCGGCTTAGCGCTGTGGAAGCCTAGAATGATATCTTACTTGTGTTCAGGGTGCCGCTCCACTAACCGATCTTAACTAAGATCAATCTTAGCAAGTTACGCCAATTTTACAATCGTCTTAGCTAAAAGTTACACCCGCTCCACTAACCGATCTTAGGCCGATCGTAGCCGTCCCGATCTTACGATCCGATCCAAGCTTAGATCGAGACTCTTTCGTCGAGAGAAAGAGAAATGCGAGGCACAAGTTATCTCCCTTTGCATAGTCTAGCAAATGATGGAAGTAGTTTACTGAACCAACTGAGTGAGTGAGTGAGTTTAGATTTACGCTGCCCTCAGCAATAGTCCAGCTATATGGCGGGCGGTCTGTAAATAATCTAGCTAAGATGCATAGCGTTCACTAGCATGGCGTTCATGTTAGTGAACGCTATGTATCTTAGCTATAAATAATCGAAGTCTAAACCAGACAATCCAGTGATCAACAGCATGCTCCGATCTGCGCAGTTGGGAACCCGATGACATGTGTCAACCAAGTCAGCGAGCCTGACCACCCGATCCCGTTAGTGGCCTCTTACGACAGGCATGGGTTATTGAAGTTCAATATTCTAACCCGGGCCTTCATGGGTATTTTTCCAACCAAGTGTAAAAGCGTGGAGAAAAACCTAGAGCAAAATATTAGGGTTTCAGGTGCAGGTGCAAGTCGAGAACGCTGGGTATCAAGCATAATATAATAATAATAAATGCATATTTATAGTGCGCCTATTCCACATCCTTGGGCATGCTCAAAGCTGTGTACAGATAATTTACACGAGAATATTTACAGCCGAGATTATAAGTAATATACTGAGAACAGGTTTTAAGTCTGGACTTTAAAATGTCAATTGTGTCAGAGCTTTTAATATGTGCCTGAACCTTGTCAATCAGAATAAACAAAGCGGATTGTGAGGCTATATATAACATATGTAGAATCTGTCAGTGGTCCTGAATAACAGCAGCCTGTCTTTAGAATCCCACACTTAATATGGGCAGTGAAATCAAACATATTTGTATCTTTTGCTTCAGAACATTGTTCACTTCATGGCTGTCCCTATTCTTAACCATGACATTGCAATATTGTTGTACAAATGTGTTACACTGACTCGCTGGGTTGTGTTCCCATGACGACAGTGGTCAGACTGGCCTGACATTTGTAAGGCTTCAGTGCAGTGTTTGTTTACATCACAGAAATATAAAAAATTCATTTCATGGGGACTTTAGGGGACGCTTTACGGTGAAATGCTTTTCGCTCTTATTTTTCACAAAGAATAGGAAAGTCACCATTTTGGTTTCTCTGATTGATTTTAGCTATCCTAAGTTGGTCATGAGCAACTTAGACTTTGAATCTTAACTTTACGATTGACTTAGGTAAGATTGGTTAGTGGAACGGTATGCCGATCGTAACGCCACGCTAAGATTGGGATTTTAGGGGTTTACGCTTGCCATAGGGCTAAGATCGGTTAGTGGAACGGCACCCAGATCACTTCGCGGAAGTTAAAAATCAAAACTACTTACTATTGTAGTAAAATATGTATATGATTGATGACCAAAAGGATTTTGCATGACACAACTTGTAACATAACAATTTCTTCCTCGGAAGTGAGGTTGTGGTCGAAGTGACAATAATATTGTAAGTAGTATTATATATTGACACCCACCTCGCTTCCAAGAGAGAAATTGTAATTTTATAAGTTACGTCATGCTAAATCCTATTGGTCATCAATCAAAAACATATTTTACTACCAGTAGCAGAGCTACAGATAACTTTTTGGTCATTGAGTTACGTACTCGCTTGTGTTCATCTCAATTGGGTATATTAATTTTCCTTTGAGTAACCAAATAAATTGTACTCACCTCACTCAAACTCAATTGGGTATTTTGCTGTTTTCCATTAATTTTATAAATATAAAAAAGTTTAAATGTTAGTGTTTGTTATTTATATTTGATCTGTAATATGATAAACGATAAGAAAGACTGCAAGTTGTCAAGTTCATGTCCTGAAATAGAACCTCTGAATATACCTCAGTTATGTTATCTATCCACCGGTATGCAAGCGAAGATTTGACATTTTTGTGTGTGTACGCATGTAAGATCACATTTATTGTGTTTTTACCAAAATTCAAGTGCACTTGTAAGCAATAGATGGGTACAATGTGTGAAGCCCATTTCTGGTGTCCCCCGCCGTGATGTTGCTGGAATATTGCTTAAAGCGACGTAAAACCAAACTCAGTCAGTCAGTAAGCAATAGACTTAATGAGAATTGAGTTTTCACATAAATATTTGTGTAATTTACGCAGATACGCATCTCATCTGTACCTCTGAGTAGAAAGTAGTGGTGGTCCGAATAATTGAAATATTCGAAGATTGGTTGCAGTGACTAAACGACCAAGCAATCGAACATGTTTTCTCATAATCTCAAACAATTCTGGAACACTTGTTTTCGTAAACAATATTTTCCACAAGGTTGGTTTTGTCTGTTACATTTCATAAGAACTACAAGCTCGTTTCAAGTCATGAATGAATTTATCGTAAAGACTCCAAGAAATTTATGTTCCTGACATACTAGTCATCCTTTAAAGATGTGAAATTTTGCCAAAAAAAAAACCCCAAAGAACTACATGTTTTTTCCATATTTTTATGTGCATTAACAAATTTCATTAATGACGCTAACCAATTTTTTCCGATGATTGATCGGTTGTAATAAACCAATCATCAATTATGAGATTTTAATCAATTCCCAACACTGGTAGAAAGTAGTTTTGATTTTGTAACTCGGTTAAAACAAACCTAAATAGCATTTATTCTCAGACTGGCAGATGTTCGCGACTGGGCGTCGCCATTTTTAAAAATCGTGACTAAAGTGTTCAAGAAGCAATGAGATTATGGTTTGTTTTCATGAAGTTAGGGGGGCGGTGGGGTAGCCTAGTGGTTAAAGCGTTCGCTCGTCACGCCGAAGACCCGGGTTCGATTCCCCACGTTGGTACAATGTGTTAAGCCCATTTCTGGTGTCCCCCGTTGTGATATTGCTGGAATATTGCTAACAGCGGCGTAAAACTAAACTCACTCACTCACTGTAGACATGTAACTTTTAACTTAAATGTGATGTTTTACACATTGTAAGAATATATTTTTTATGTATTATGGAACTGATAATAGTAAACTAACACAGAAACTGTAAGCAACAACAAACAACAACATAAAATTTTACAATCCCACAAATACAATAGAAAAACAGACACTGTCATGGTTTGGTTAAGACACATGCAACACATATGTTTTTCACTACTTATATTTGTTAGGTGTTACTAGATAGGTGCCTGTGACAAATGATGGCTGGGCAAATGTTCAGTGTTCATCAGCGTAGACACAGCTCAGTAAGCAGTCAATTTGGACAGTGTCAGATAAAATGCCTTCTTGCACACATTTATCTGTTCATTGTACTACCTTCAGCCATCCGAGGATGCAGATGACTACTGGGGTGATTCCTCAGCAAGGAAAGGACCAAGTAGGAAAAACATCTTTGATGATGATGTAAGTAGATTTTTCTGTCTTATTCACTTATACTGCACTTGTTTCATTCAATTGTTTGTGCTGTAAATCTCACATCAAGTTGCTTTTGTTCTCCTATGGTACTAGACATTGTTATGACAAACTGACCCAGATAAGTGAAGTGCTATGAATTGATGTGTAGCAGGACATGGAGTCATCCCACAGATGACATCCTGATGTTCTCAGATTTCTTACAAAGTTAAAATGTCTTGGTCATGTGGAGAAAACGTCCGACTTTAGATTCAGAATGTCCTTGGTTACGACCCTTCATGGGACTAGAAAAATAGGACGTTTGACATCCATTCACCTATATAGTTGAACAGAATTCCTCAGATGGTGACATGGCATCACTGTGTCCTAATGGTGTGAGGTGTTGCTCTTGATATCTGTCACTGGTTTGATAGCAGCTGGATGATCCAATGGCTGCTGTGAAACAGTTGGGACATTTCTGAAATAGGTTTTATTAACTTGCTTTTGATTCAATGTTGACTAAGTCAGCCTTTATTCCTGGAATGTTTAGGTTAGTTTTGAGACTGCCAAAAAGATTCTGACAACATCGGAAACTCTTGATGATGAAGAGGAGGAGGAATTTGACTTGGTCAACTGGCAGGGAGACCCTGTGGTTAGATATAGTAGGTAGCCTTCATTCTTTATGTAACCATGGTAACAGGTGTGATAAGCATGATGAATTGCATTAGTAGACATGATGAGATGACAGAGTAATTATGGACATGGACTCGTCATGCTGGTTCACTTCAGGAAAGAAATCATTCGAATTTCGTGTGTAGAAAACAGATATGGCAAGGGGATTATGTTACCATGTTCACAAAGGAAAGGTATATATTTCTTGATTGACATGTGTTTAACACTAACTTGATTAATTATTACGTTTCATCTATATATGGTACTGTTATAAAATGAGAAGTTGTTGTATGGTATATGTGGTGTTTGACAGAAGATTATCGTATGAAAATATATGTTGTTCATTCTTCGAATACTAAGGTAACACAGAGAGAGGCACCATGATAAATGTCTCAGTGGCCGCATCAGCCTCCAGGGAGAGTAAGTCTTTGATACTATTTCCTTAAAGAATTGTAACAATACGTGGTGGAGCAGTGCAGTGCATTTAACATGACAATATCATTGTAGGGTTTGAAACTGCTTGAGTCCCCGTAGTATGATTAGAACATTGACACAGTTAAAGACAAATTACATTTAAAAGTTGTGTTATGTTTTATTACATTGTGAATTATATTAATTAAGGGACCATTCAAAATTTATGTCCAGGGGGTGATGATGATTTTTATGGAGAAGCATGTACAATGTGAATGACCCCACCACAAAAAGTTATGTACAAAGTTAGTGAACCCCTCTGCATGCCATGTACAAAATCAGTGACCTTCAACCATATTTTCTAAGCATATTTTTATGTACAAATTTGCTGACCCCCCAGTACATTTGTACAAAATTGATGACCCCGCTACCTTCCCAAAACTGATTAAGAGGACAAAACCCCACACACACACACACACACAAAAATCATTATCACTCCCTCTAGCCAAATTACAAAATATGGTCCCTAATATAATATGAAACCATTATAGAATGCAGATTCCATTGACATTTTGTGGAATATTAATCTTGTAGAATATTGACAGTATTATTACATAATTGGGTTTTCTACAGTTTTTATGTGACAATAATCTTCTAGTTGCTGTCATGATGGTTTATTATGTCTTGCAGCCTGGTGATATGAAATAAAGCATTACAGTAAAAACTACTATGAAACCAAGGATAATGGAAGTGGTATTGTTTTGACTATATTATTATGTTAATGCCACTGCATTATGTCACCATGGATTGTTACACTGTGATGTAATACTGAACATGCTGAAAGAGTGGCTTGTTGTTTGCTTCGGACAGATAACCACAAATCCAATGCTCCTGATCTCTCAAACCTGGCTGTTCCAATTACCTCCCATGCTGCTCGAACCACCACACTCCCTCCCTCTGCACCATCAGCTTCATATGGAAAATATGAGAAATCATCCAGCATGACTCACAACCGATCTCAGAGCCTTGGTGGTAAATAATTAATGGCCTTTGCTGCATGTTGTGAATTAAGCAAAGACATTTCTCTACTCATGTTGCATGATCTACCATAATTAACCTGATAAGCTTCAGTGATCATGGTGATTATATACTGCATAACATGGACACCTGATTCTTTCTTAAAGAAGGTAATGTTTGCTGGAAAAACAGTTGCTATATTTTGGTGAATATTTTTGTATGTGTTAATGATATCTGCGGGGGCGCGGTGGGCGAGCTGGCTAAGGCGCCAGGCTACTGATCCAGTGATGTTGAGGTGCCGGGATCGAGCCCACCTGTGACCGGGTGTAAAAACCTTGGAGTCAACTTTGTGTGCAGACTCTTTCCGTGTTGTCACAACCCCTAGTGTACAGTACACAACCCTGTCCACTTAAAAAGAACCCACGAATTCGTTGGTATATGACCAGATGGTGGCCACATGAATACGTGCAAACACCTAGTTGTGGGTACAGCAACGTGCAGTGAAGTTGGACAAAGTGCTGTGACTATGTGTCCCAGTCCACCCAGCTGCGAATGGGTACCTCGTTAGGATGAGAAAGCTACAATAACTCGGTGCGCCTAGTGGCAGCAAGAGTTGTAAACTCCCCAGGGAGTTTAGATTGCTAATACGATGTGCAGTTGATATTGACATCCAATGATCGAGGGAAAAAAACAAAATACCACAGCCTTGAGCATGCACTAGTGCGTGGATATGTGCGTTATATAAATATCCTATAATAATAAATATAAAAACATGTGTAAGTTGTAACAATAGGGATTGAATATTATACTGTGTAAGTCAATGCCGAATGGTTTGTTTGTTTCTTGTATGATGTTTGGTTCTTCTGCCAATATTGCAGGAAATGTTGGTCAGTTTGGGGTGAACAAAGCAAACATGAGTCGAGGAGTCAGTGACCCAAGTATAGAGGATGGTAAGTCAGATGCTGAGTGCATGAAGAGTATCCCACGTCACCTCATCCATTAGTGACACTAACCACACTGACTGGCTGGGCATCAGCTGGGTCGTCTGTGAAGAGACAGATGAAAAATACCACTTCACTATCTCTGCCAGTAAAGTGTATTTCCTTTTCAACTGAATGTTTGATGGTATTCCATGCGGTCAATTCCATCCGAATTGAAGTGAGATCAGCGAATGGTCTACAGGTTAATGTTAGAGATCTCTGTTAGTGGTAGAATGTCCAGAATTTTGTCACTGTTAATGTTCTGAAAGAGGCGTGATCAGTTCTTAAATCCAGAACAGTCAAGGTATGGAATCCTATGATTCTTGGTCTCTCGCAGCCCTTCCTGGTATTCTTGGTGTATCAGAAGTTTTAAAACATCTATTACCTGCTACATGTTGTGCTTTCCATCCACAACAAGCTGACCTGCTGTTTAGAGCAGTGTTAGACAACTCAACCTCAGGACTCTATAACCCGAATGTCTACGTTGCAGTTGTTCGAGATACTTCAACTCCAGGGAGAAAGCAGCCAACTTCAGCTGATCTTGATAAACTCCAAAAGGAAATCATCTTCTTAAGGAAGGAACTACAGGTGAGTGATGTCTTATACCTCGCTCACAATCTGGGTGAAAATCTAAAAAAACCCACTGCTCTTGAAAGTCACCTTTTTATTCTCAAGGTTTGAAAACCCCCAGAATGTAGTGTCTGTCTGTCTGCCCAACTATGTGCTCTCCATTTTCCATTTCAGAAGAAGTACCTCTAAACTGTTGCATATTTCTTATTTTTCCTTATCCTGACTCATATGTTATTGCTTATCTCCCCTTCCTACCGAGGTGTAATGGAAACCTCTGTCCTAATGTTCCCTAATGAACAGTCTTAAAATAGCTCACCCCAACTGGACCTCTTCCGTTTCCTGCACCAGTGTCCCATGTGACTATATATAGGCTGTCTGTCACTCTCTCCATTTTCGCTCTACCCTATGGTTGAGTGGATGCCTCCTGTCCATTTTTGTCTCCATTTTCCAATTCAGAAACAGTACCTCTAATTAGTTGACTGTTTCTTGTTGAAACTTGCTATACAGATCAACTGGTTGATTTAGCATTAGTAGTTTCTTTTTGTATTTTCATTTGTTTTCATGACAAAAAGTTGGACTTAAACTGAGAAGGTCCATGTTAAATTTTCCTCATGGTCTCAAATGATATAAGTGATTCATCAATGTTTTCATACTTGGGTGAAATTCGTAGTAAGTCTTCATTGTCATAAACACCCTTACTGAAAGGTCCATGTGTACACGCTGCTTCAGATTGCCAAGAGGGAGAGGTGGAAGAAGCAGCCAGTGGGGGATACAATCAGGAACATGGTGCTTGGACAGGTATGCATTCAGGACTCTCCATATATGTTAGATTTTGATATAAGAACTCGGATGTATGTTTCTGAATGCTTCCCACACATTAGGGGTAGCCTAGTGGTTAAAGTGTTTGCTTGTCATGCTACACACTTACATACCAAATTTAGAAGCCTCAATACTTATATTGTTGTTGGATGCTACTTCCTATGGAGATTTCCTCAGAATTGTCCATGGCATTTCTTTGGTTATATAAGGCAACCACTTTTGTGTATTCGTATGAGATGTATTTATATTTTTATTAGTATATATTATTACTAATGAAGCCCTACCCTGTTCCCATACTCAGGCCTACACATTTGAGCTGTACAAGTCCAAAGAAGACAAACTGGCACTGCTGGACAAGGCCATAGAGTCTCATGATGGGAATGCCATTATCGCCGTGAGTTACCCGAGATTCTTGTGTCACAAAACAAGTTCTGTTCAGTTTGCACTTTTTGAGTAAACAACAAACAACCCTTTTTAAGACAACTGAAGTGGAAAGAGACTCATACAGTCCATTTGGTTAATCGTCACTTCTGCACATGCTCAAGCTTATGGCTTCTTCAGTATGTTAAAATTTGTATGATTGTTGTCCCCTGCCACAACGCGAAATGGGGGACTATGTATTCAGCGGCGCCTGTCCATCCGTCCATACGTGATTCCGATTCTTGTTAACGCGATATCTCATGAACTGTTGTACCCAATGTCTTCAAATTTTGTGACAGCCTACACTGGGGATTACGCAGACACCAGTTTATTTGGGTGACCTTGACCTTTTTTCAAGGTCGCCTTGACCACTTTTCAAACTTTTCATATCTCATGAACTGTCTACCCAATGTTTTCAAATTTGACAGCCACTTGGTGGATTCAAACTTTTGTTAACCTTATCATCTCACCATGAACTGTTTTCAAACTCTTGTTACCTCATGGACTTTGTACAAATTTCAAATTTGGTGACAGCCTACATTGGGGATTAGGCTACATTGGGAGACACTTTTTGCACTTTTTAACAGACACCATGTTTTGTACCCAATGTCTTAAAATATGGTGACAGCCTACATTGGGGCATTATGCAGACACCAGTTTATTTGGGTGATCTTAACCTTATCTTCAAGGTCACCACGACACTTTGACAAACTTATTTAAACTTATTTAATAAAACGCATATCTCATAAAATTATTTGCAGCCTACATTGGGTGATTATGCAATGTTTTCAGGCATCTTGTGTTGACAGGGCGGTGGTAGCTTAGTGGTTGGGTGATTATGCAGACAATGTGTGAAGCCAGTCATTTTGCAGGAATATTGCATCTTGTCATTGTGACCAAAAAAATAAAAGTAGTAAATATAGATATTCCATTCTTTAGCAGCAGGGGACATTGCCATATCAGTGGCAAACACTTGTTGTGCTTGTATCAACCCATACTCAAACATACACATCTTATTCCCTATGTTATTCAGGTGATTCTGTTTTTGAAGAAAACCATTAAGGCGTCTCTGTTCAACCTGGAAATGATGAGGCGCCCGGTTGCTATCAACCATTATCTGTCTTATCTGAAGCATCACTATGACTACGCCCAGATGGTCGACTTTCTTGGGTAGGTACTATGTTACAGTGAAGTTGAAATATTAGAGTGTTTTATTACTTTATTGTGTAGACAATTTACCAAATTTCATGACCTATATTGTTAAAGGATGATTTCCAAATTGAAATTCATAGCTGTACCAGCACAAAGCTAAACTGTGAAATCATTGTCACGACGGACAACATCAGTGCAACACTCTTTAAACAGTTTTTGGTTTACACCTTAATGGGTGTTAGTTCACACATGAATATTAAGAATCTTTTGCATTGTTGAATGTCTTAAAACAGGTCTGTCTTGAATCCAAATTACTGTGGGAAGTTGGTTATCAAAACTGCACTCGTCAAGTAGAGAAGAAAACAGTGAGGTCAACACCTTTACTCACCCTAATGTTACACATATGTAGATACAGCCAGCCTTCTACAAACTGTACCTCCCTGAAAATTCACAAATGATTGGTTTGCTTTGTTCATGTCCATAACAAGGGTAGATAACTCTAACTTTCACACATAACCCGTCTGGAAAATCAATCAATCAATCAATCGACCGGCCAACCAACCAACAAATCAATCGGTGTATATGTACAGCAATTTCAATAGCTAGTATTATTAGTTACACATAACAATCAAATTTTCATTGAATTCTTTAGGAAACTGATGATTTCTATGTGGAATCTGTACAATCCTAAACAAAGATATCATTTGATATTATAGCTATCTGTAATCATTGTAAGTATTATATCCATGACATGATGTCTTCAGTTATTGACTGATGGTTTTTATCCCCTGGCATGTAATGCGGGGGATATAGTCTACACCTTGTCCGTCCATACATCTGTCCGTTCGTAATCATTTTGTTTCCAGAGCATAACTCAAAAACTGTTAAATATTTTTCAACAAGAAATTGGTAGATATATCTAACAGAACCAAAAGTGGTACCTTTTGCTATTAACTGATTTTTGTCATTTTTATTTTTCTTGGTTTCCATGGAAATGTTTGGGACTTAGTCTCAAAAGGGAGGGATGGGCTTTGTTTCCAGAGCATAACTAAAAAACTGTTCAATATTTTTCAACTAAAATTGGTAGATATATCAAACATCTTGAAGTGGTGCTTTTTGCTATCTACAGATTTTTGGCATTTATATTTTTCATGATTTCCATGGAAACAATCTGGACTTAGTCTAAAAAAACAAATTGGACTTTAAGTATCTGTCAGGTGATTTGTTCTTTCATGTATGTGGGAGCTGGGGGGATTTGTCATCTTCTGATGACTCTTGTTTGATTTTAGGATGCTTGGTAGATCCGAAGAAGCCTCGGTGAGTTGAAACATTTGAAAAATAATAGACATGATGTTGTTTAAAAAAGCATGTTTTTGCCAGAAGCAAACTGTTGTATCTTATAAACACACAAATTAAGAAAAGTAGCAAATGATATATACCATAAATCCCATTGGATGACATGGAATATGAAGATTGAAATTAGTTAAACTGGAGCATGCAAGTAAATTTCTTGTGATATTTCTGTTCGGATGTGAAACACAATCCATATCAGATCTTCTTTAATCAACCGGTTAGTTTAAGATTTAATCAAGTTTCAATGTCAAAATGATTGTAAATGTTGGCTAAGGAATATTCACAATGTAGGACCTGAGTGAGTGTCAGTGTGCTCATGACTGACCTCTAGATAGCATGACCTGATTGAATGATGATATACCAATAGCTGGAATATTGCTGACTTCAATCTTTGGGATACAACAACATTCACACATTTTTTCACTAGTAATACAGAAAGGAGAGAGAGAGAGAGTTATATCTTCAACATGTGTGGAGATGTTTTTTCAAATTGCTTATTATGCTTATTATGCTTAATTAGGGGACAACAAATTCTGTTATCACGTTTATTGTAATGCACAAGTAATTATCTATTTGGGCATGTCTGTTTCAGATGTTTAAATACAAAATAGCCTGCCAGTCTAAAGATCCAACTATAAAAGTTGCAACCTTAAAGACATGCTACAGGTAAGCAGGAGAAAGAGGAGGAAAATATCTGTGACCCATAAAGATACGCTGTTTGTGGATTTAAATGCCAGATTTCTCACCTTACCATTACTCTGAGCATAGAAAACTGATATCACCAGCAAAATAGTGTTTATAAGACTTCCTCAGTCACTGGATGTGAAGGGGTAGCCTAGTGGTCAAATCTCATGCCGAAGACCTGGGTTCGATTCTCCACATGGTTACAATGTGTGAAGCCCATTTCTGATGTCCCCCACCATAATATTGCTAGAATATTGCTAAAAGCGGCTTAAACCATACTCACTCACTCTACTACAGTTACAGACAGTGTCATTGTTTAGTCAGTAGAGATGAAGCCCCATTCCCAATCCTGAACTGTTTGCACGTGAACACAAGCCCCCATGTAATATCAGACCTTGTGTCTTGTCTGTGACTTGGCTGAGTGTCTGTCAGTGGTGGATGCACTCCTGCACTAGTTTGACGGTTAACCCTCGATTATATACAGGCTGTCTCGATAGTGCCGGGATATGGTTGCTTGATTGGCATTTTAGAAGATTCTGTTTGATGAACATAGACATTTCTCTGGGTTACATCTTCTTTTTATTTTCACCTGTTTTACCTGATGATGGGGCCAGAACAAGCCCTGAAATGTTGTACTCAAGAATAAAAAGAAGATGTAACCCAGAAAAATCTCTATGTTCATGGGATGTGGTTGTTTTACATTCACATATATGAGTAAACAATCATACTATGGAATATTTGTCTTGTCCAGTAACTGTCCATACAGTTGCAACTATAACGCCTTGTGTGAAGACCAATGAGTGAGTGTATATGGTTTTATGCCTTGATTAGTAATATTCCAGCAATATCACAACACCACATATGGGCTTCACACATTGTACCCATAAGGGGATTCGAACCTGGGTCTTCAGCATGACAAGCGTACACTTCAACCTTTAGTCCCACTGCCTTTGTGAAGCCCAAACAGCAGTAGCGATGGAGTGAGCAGTAGCGATGAGAGACATGTGTTATTGTGGTTGCAGGGCTCACTTCCAGCCTGAAGTTCAGTTGAGTCGCCAAGCAACACTGCTTCAGGAGCAGATTGACCTGTTGGAGAGACAGAGGCCAGTTGAGGTACTGGCTGCTTCTGGAGTCTACACTGTAGTCAGCAGGCCTTATAAAACCTATATACAGAAAACTGCATTTGTAACAAACATGTAACAAACATATTAACAAATATTAGTGGTCCCATTGAGGTTGTTACAACCATAGTTTATTGTACTGTTCTATAAGGACCCATGAAGATCCAGGTTAGAATTGATCTTCAGCAAGCCATCAGATCTAAACACAGATCATTATCTTCTAACTCTACCTGAAGATCTTATTCCCTGCTGATCTCCAACAGCATATTTTCCAAGATAGTTCTGGTAGTTCCTGCCCTGGCTCGACTGGCACTTTAAGGGGAAATTAAGGACTGGCAGATTGGAGCCTGTAAATTGTGTCTCAGTGAGGTATTGAACTGTGATGTATGTTTGTAGGACTATCATGTTCCGTAATGCCCATAAAGTCGAAGCATCTTTACAAGTCACATTTCTGATGAAATATGGTATAATAAGTCTAGTTTTCATTCCTGTGCAGGAAAATGATTCCAAAGCAGAAGCATCAGGTCAGGTGCAGATTTTCCGTGACTTTCCCCGCCGAGCCAGTCTGTTTGGCCAGCCAGTGACAACAACCCTGTACTACTTCTGTCTTTACCACTACGATCTGGGAGAGGTGGGTTCACTGCGTTCACTGCGTTGAGTTCTCTCTGTGTCTTGTGCTTGGTAGCCTGCATATACTTTTGTCTGCAAAGGAAATTGGGATCCCATATTGAAGACAATGGCATCTTTGGGTTTAAACCTAGGCACAAATTGGTGTGTTTGTTTATTTTACGTTAGGATGAAGTGGTCATTGAAGGACTAGTAGACATCACAATGTCATATGGGTAGCTGGTTTATAATAATAGTTCCTTAATAGTAATAAAATATTGTTAATTCTTTAGAATTACTTTTGGCATGTTTATTGTAAATGTGGGAAATGTTTGTTGTTTCAGAATTCTTTAGCCAGTCCCCAAGCTTTGAAAGCCAGGCACAATGTAAGTGCAAAGTCACCTGTTTATATTTTACTTAGCAGTTACATGTGTGCTTAAGCATTACATGAAGATATAGTGTTAAGTTTATCACAGAGGAGTAGTTTGATGCTCATAAAATCAGTCGCTGTATTTGTTTGGTTCAATTGTTGTGTATTGTATCGCAGAGGTTTAGTTACAATACTCTACTGTTACTCTGAACTGTTTTACAGATCTCTGACAAACAGTATCTCCACTGTGCACTGGGAGCCAGGGCTAAGATGAGGCGATGGAAAGACATAGAGGCACTGCTTACTTCCAAAGTAGGTGCTTCAGTCTTCAGATTTATTTAAGTATTGGACAAGTATTTGTCTGAGAATTATTGACACACTTGATTGTGAAGATATAAGAATTCCATGTTTATTCTGCAGGGATGGTTTGGAGGGACGAAATTAAAGGCTGTGATAGGCTTCGACAAAGTTTCAGAAATCCTACACAAGACCAAGGCTCCGCATGATGTATGTATATACACACAAGATATTGACCATGTGCACTGCAGTTAGTTGAGCCCAGGAGCCTTAGTTTGCCAAACAAGGTTGCTTACTGCATCTGAACTCATAGGGAGTAGAAGAACACTTGATTATTTCTTACGACTATTGTTAATTTCTCATGTCAAAACACATTTACTATAGTCACATGAAAAACATCAGGGTTTCTTTACTACTTTTGAGTTGTATATATCATGACATGACAGATGGAACTATCAACTGTATTTGGCTGCAGTTCTGCTGATGCAGCATTGCTAGCTAACTCTTGTCATTTAATCTGTGATGTATATCTCTGAAATGTGCAGTCAAGTAATGTGGATGTATTTGGGGTTTTCAGGTTTTAGCCAAGTATGTTGCCTTGATAGAAGATTTAGACCAAAGACTGAATATTGCACGGAAAGTGGAATGTCCTAAAGCTGTGATAGATGTAAGTATATGTGTGTATGGTTGATGATCACCCATTATGGCTGTCATCTCAGCCAGTGCCTGTGCTGTTGTTCAGTTGGTCATAAGTTATCAAATGGCAATACATGTGCATTCAAGTGATTATGGTTACAACTACAATACTGTTTCAAGTGATACTACTCACTCACTCTTACTCACTCAATCACCCACCCAAGAGTTGCCACTCACTCACTCACTCAACCAGCCACCCAAGAGTTGCCACTTTGCCACTCACTCAACCACCCACTCACTCAAACTCTCTACCCCTCACTCAACCACTCTACCACTCACTCAACCTCTCTACCACTCACCCAACCTTTCTACCACTCACTCAATCACTCACTCACTCTACCACTCACTCAACCTCTCTACCACTCACTCAACCACTCACCCAACCTCTCTACCACTCATTCAACCTCTCTACCACTCACTCAACTTCTCTACCACTCACCCAACCACTCACCCAACCTCTCTACCACTCACTCACTCTACCACTCACCAAACCTCTCTACCACTCACTCAACCACTCACCCAACCTCTCTACCACTCACTCAGTCACTCTACCACTCACTCAACCAATCACTCTACCACTCACTCAACTTCTCTACCACTCACTCAACCTCTCTACCACTCACCCAACATCTCTAGCACTCACTCAACTTCTCTACCACTCACCCAACCTCTATACCGCTCACTCAACCACTCTCCACCACTCACTGAACCTCTCTACCACTCACTCAACCACTCACTCACTCTACCACTCACTCACTCTACCACTCACTCAACTTCTCTACCACTCACTCTGACCGCCTCCGTGGTGTAGTGGTTAGAGCGTCCGCCCAGAGAGCGGAAGGTCGTGGGTTCGATCCCCGACCGCGTCATACCTAAAGACATTAAAATATGGTCATTGGTACTTGTTGGTCCCTGCCTGGCGCTCGGCATTAATGGGTACAACAAGGACTGGTCGGCTCGGAGTCAGTATAATGTGTCTGAGTGGGGTATTCATGCTTCACTGCGGCATGGTATCTCAGTGGGCTAGCACTATAAAACCAGCTTCAGTCTGGGCTAGCACAAGCAGCCGCACATACACATACACACGCATGCCCGTCATCATATGAGTGAAATATTCTCAAGCATGACGTTAACCCAATTTCACTTCACCTCACCTCACCACTCACTCAACCTCTCTACCACTCACTCTACCACTCACTCTACCACTCACTCAATCATCCACTCACTCACTCTACCACTCACCCAACCTCTCTACCACTCACTCACTCTACCACTCACTCAACCACCTACCCAAGAGTTGCCACTCGTACACTCAACCACCAACACACTCACACAACCATTCACTCAACCTCACTACTACTCACTCATCCAACCACTGACTCACTCAAACGCCCACTGACTCACTCTACCAACCTCTCACTCACTCACTCAACAGCCCACTCATTCGCTCAACCTCTCTACCATTCACTCAACCACCCAACCAAGTGTTGCCACTCACTACCTCACTTTACCACTCACTCACTCAACTGCCCACTCACTCACTCTACCAACCTCTCACTCACTCACTCACTCAACTGCCCACTCATTCAACCTCTCTACCACTCACTCAACAACCCACTCACTCACTCAATGACTCAGCTGCCCACTCACTCTCTCCACGCACTCACTCTCTCCACGCACTCACTCTACCACTCACTCACTCTCTCTACCACTCACTCAACTGCCCACTCACTCACTCTACCAACTGCCCACTCACTCAACCACCCTATCACTCTATCCCTCACTCGACCACCCACCAAAGTGTTGCCACTCACTCCCTCTCTCTACCACTCACTCACTCACTCAACCGCCGACTCACTCACTCTACCCCTCACCCAACCACCTACCCAAGTGTTGCCACTCACTCATCACTCAACTGCCCACTCACTCACTCTACCACACACACATTCACTCATGTATCACCTAGGCTCTGCATCTTTAAACGTTTTCTGTCTTTCTTCCTGGTTTGCTCACATGCCCCTTCAGTCTTCCTTCTCCTTTCAGGCTCTGGTTGCCCTGAAGGACCGGGCCCAGTTAGAGAAGTACACTGCGACACTGAGATCCCACGAAGCCCTGTATGCCCAGGATGTTCTGCGCAGCTCGGTAAGTCAATGACAATCATCACATGCCAGACTCATGTTAGAGAATATCAGAGGGGCATCCAGGGATATAAGGCTATAGGACACTGTGATAATATCTGTGAAAATAACAGAATGAATCCTTGCCTTGCAGTCAATAAAATGGAAGTGATGCTGCCCCTAGTGCGACTAGTCTACAACCAAATACACTCTCCAGAAGTCTTTCCAGCAGAATGCAATACAGATCAACTATTGTGCAAGAAGGCACACAACAAATGGCTCACCCTGTGAAGACAAGGCTCAAGGGATGGATACTGAAGTATTAGGTTGTGTTGTATGTCATAGAATATGTGACTGTGATCAGATAGTTATTTTGAAATTCATACCAAGATCAAATAATGCGATCTCTCAGAAAGGAAATATATGTTGTTTGAGTCCATCCCTAAACATGCTCACCGAAACAAATGGCATAATCAGCAGAGAAATCAAACAGTTATTATTGAATATATATGAATATAACCACAATGATATATGCTAGAATGAAGAATAATGTTTTTATAAGGTCTATCAAAGACGTAAATACATGTATATCTGTGGTTTATCAATGAACAAGGAAAGTCTTATGCTGCCGTAGTCATAACCTTTTGAATATTTCCATATAAGATTAATTTCTTCCTCAACTCCTTTGTACTTTTGACTAGAATTTAGCCTACCTAATGTTGTTTTTTTATTTTAATCTACTCTAAAGAAACAACTTTTCTACACAGCATGCCACTCATGGTGTATGCCGATGATGTTGATAGGGAAACGTAGCTGTGGTCGCCATGGTCTCAGGCCAGCTTCGTCAACAACAAATGAATTACAATTCTGCCTACAATTCTGTGAGCTTTTGAAAACAGAAATCCCAGTTTCTATTCTTGAGGTTATGATAATTCTTAGGTAGTCTCTGCCCATTAATACTCATAAGATAAAATGACTTCATTTTCTTTATAAGGAAATATGGTTACTTAACGTATGAGAAAGATGTATCTGAAGTTTCTTTGTACTGTTTGTTGTTCTGTTTCATTTTGAAATTTATTCTTGTTATATTATGTTTGTCCATGGTTGCCATGGTGACTTAAATGGGAATCAGTGGTCGCAATAGCTGCTGCTCATGAATGTGTCAACAGGAAGTTTTACTGAGGGAGATAATTTGTGGTATTTACTATGCAACCAACCATTAACAGTTATGTTGTGATATGGACCATGTGCAATTATATAGAGAGCATTGTATGCTATGTATAGATGAAATATATATTATTTATATAAAAGCTGTGTTTGGCATCTTGAGAGGATGTGATACGATAGTTTGAAATGGTTATAATGCTATGTGCATTCACCTACATTCCAAGATTTTCATTTGCATTATCTGTATGTCAAAAGAATTTATGAACAATCTTGCTATCAACCATATCCAACAAGTAAATGGTTGAAAAGGTGAACAAAGGCCATCTTGACTTCGACTCATCGCTGATGAAAGGGATAAGTTCAAGTCAAGCTCAATTCTGGGTTTTACAGGAACCACAGGTTTGGGGGGTTCCTTGACTCAAATTGCTTGAAAGGCATGTCTCAAACCAGATGGGAAATGCAGCTGTGTCCATCAACATGAAATGTTGTTAAGTCATGTTTAAAGATATTTCTTCTGTATCCAAATCTAATTTAGGGCTAATCATGTGAGAATGATGTGTACTGTTGCATTCCATTGTCTTTCTCAAGTTAGATCAGCCCTGGATTGAAACTGTAAATGGTAATTGATGATCTTTTGTTCCCTTTTATTTATCAAACAGCATGATTGGTTAGTACCCAGGTATGCAGCCAGGCTGTTACCTCTAATGTCATTTAAACTGTCTATTTGTATTGATCAGATCTTGTATTAATATATGTATGTTTACAGTAAGAACATAGCTCTTGACACAGATACTCAGATCTTAATGCACATCCTTGACCGCAAGTGAGATGGTGGACTCAACCTTTTTGTACTCTCTCATCCTGTCTCTTATCACCAGTTGTAAAATTATTGATGTTTGGAAAATCTTACCATATCAAATGATATGTCTATAACTACTACACATCATCTATGGTTGTTGTTAAAATGAGTTTTACATAATAGTAAGTTTTGAAGCTCTGACTATTGTTTATGACTGTGTTGGACTACCTTCCTTGAACTTACTGCCCGGAAATTTAAGTGCTTAGTTAGTGGGCAGTGTTACTACCTAAAATATAAAAAGATCAATGCAAAATCCTGAGAGAAGGATGAACAAAAAATACTATGATATGGAATAATTACCGGCTTGTTTCCATGGTGACTGACCTGGCCTGTCCCTGCCACTGCTTAATCTGCAGAGAGGGTTTGAGCTTCAGTGATGTCCTTGATATGATACCCAAGGTCATCCCCGAAAAGCTGGTCAGTGCGGGATTGTGCACAGAGGAGCTGTTTGTAAGCTCCTTTAACCTCAGGCTTTAATGTGTCCTTCCTGTGATGTGTTAGTTCCACGAACACAGCTGACAAAAGGTGTAGTGAATCACAAGTTTTAAATTAATCTGTTGCTTCTTTCTTTAGAAGCATTCATTACTTCATCTCTCGGTTCCAGAAAAAGACAAAAAGCCTTAGCCAAGAGATTTTGAATATTTTGTAGTTTGGAATCTGTGGACCTGGTTTGAGGTTTGATTTGATTCCACACTTGACTTATCCACATTAGGACAATTTTCTGGCTTCTAATACTTTTCCTTAGTCTGATTTAGTGCTTCGAGATTCATTTGCGATCTCAGACCTTCATTAATTGTCCTTCCAAGAACTTAGTTCGCTTTAGGACCACATTTGTCATTGCTGACGTAAGCATTCAGTTGGAAGATGACTGCATCAACTTCATTTTCACTTTCTCATTCATCATCACTTTGCAAAGTGTCAACTATATCATCAAAAGGATCATTGTCCTCTACGTCTGACTTATCTTTATCAGCAGTAACCCGACTTCGCTTCTGCGAGTTGCTGGACCTTATGCTTCAGTGAGCTGCCCTGTCCTAAACCGCTTGGCCCAGTTACTTGTTGATCACTGACCTCTATGACGGGAAGGAACCTGTGTTCTTTTCACCCCAATTTAAATTTTATATTAAGATGAATTTGTTACAGAAAATAAAACTTCATTTTAAATATTAAATAATATAAAATTATATATAGCATACATATTAAAATAACAGTATTACATTGAATACCATGATGAAAAAGAAATCTAGTGTCTTTTTAATGCTGTTTCTGATTCTTAGCAACTTCTATTTCGTGAATCTGCCCCAGATTCTAAGCTAGCATTGCTAAGCTGTTGGTCCCATTGAGGCATTACTTGTGGCAACTGTTGATTCCATTGGGCATTGCTTGTGGCAACTGTTGGTCCCATTGTGGCATTGCTTGTTGCAACTGTTGGTCCCATTGTGGCATTGCTTGTGGCAACTGTTGGTCCCATTGGGACATTGTTTGTGGCAGCTGTTGATTCCATTGGGCATTGCTTGTGGCAGCTGTTGATTCCATTTGCTTGTGGCAAGGTTGATCATGCTTTGGTGGCATTGGTCCCATTGGGGCATTGCTTGTGGCAACTGTTGGTCCCATTGGGGCATTGCTTGTGGCAACTGTTGGTCCCATTGGGGCATTGCTTGTGGCAACTGTTGATCCCATTGGGACATTGCTTGTGGCAACTGTTGGTCCCATTGGGCATTGCTTGTGGCAGCTGTTGATTCCATTGGGCATTGCTTGTGGCAACTGTTGATTCCATTGGGGCATTGCTTGTGGCAACTGTTGATCCCATTGGGGCATTGCTTGTGGCAACTGTTGATCCTATTGGGGCATTGCTTGTGGCAACTGTTGATCCTATTGGGACATTGCTTGTGGCAGTGCCAAAAGTGATGCTGAGTGTAATGCCTCTAGCACTCTTCAAAATCCCCACCCCATACAGTGTAGCATGTCATTGTTTTATAGAAGTTCCATAAATCTTCCTCCAGTTTTCCAGAAAGCTTGAATGTTCCTGGTATGTAGACTTTTACCTCCTTTAGAAGGGCCAGTGAATGTCTAAGAGTAATAGTGTTGGGCATAGATGTCCTAATACTAGCATATTCAGTTTTAACTGGAGGTATTCCACAAATGAAATCATTCGTAACTGAAGAAATTAGACAAATGTTACAAATTCATTTTGCAAGTATGATTTTGTTGCTCATTCTAATCTCCAGATTTGTTTATCCATTTCTTTTGTAACAGTAGAAATGGTTTAATCAATTCTACCCAGGTTATCAATGACGTCATTAATGGCATCTCTGTTTGCTGAAATTTGTACTCTGGATGTGTTAAGAATCAAGAACTCTTCCTGTACTCTGTGAGTTAATCCCATCTGATTGTCTGCTAATTTCTTAATATTTTGTTTGATCGTATTCAATCTGCATCAGATACTACTCCAAACAGGAAACTTTGCGACTTCCCAACAAATAATGATCACTTCTGCCATGTGTGCAATCAGCTAAATTCTACAACGTTTATATTGACCCAGTTAAATGTTGAATATGACTTGTTTAATGTCAGTTTGCCACCTGGTTGTAAACTGCATGTAAGGGACAAATTCTCTGATGAACATGACTAACCACTTTCACTTGGTCGTTGTAAAATCATTTAGCCTTTGAAAAACATTTTCAAATTACACAGCACATCTGGCTAACCCAAAAAAGGAAAAGTAACATTGGCAGGTACATGTTTCTCTGAAATAAATCATAATCACCATTTTCTTCACCACTTTGTACAACTATATTCAATATTCATGAGAAGCCTTACAATAAGCCAGCTGCTACTGCTTCCTCACTTTGTTGCCTTTGTCGACTTGATCGTGTTTGGTGGGTCTCCTTATCATAGGTTACAGACCTTACAAAAGGTCACGAATGAACATGGTGTCTCCACACATTCCCAACAGTCCTTATGAGGATCACAAGGGGACATGCGTTTCCCACAATCAGAGCATTATTAGTTCTCAGTGGGAGGCCCATGCAATCATATTCATAAGAACTGTATATTGGCCAGCAGCACTGTGACCTAATGATAAACAAGAGTAGAAGATCAATGCAAAAGATCACCTTATGGAAGACATAAAAAGAGAATACTTTCTCTGGAAAAAGTGCTAACGAGAATATGTCCACTTAAATTGAACACTTGAGCTCTTTGGTCAAAGACCAATCAGCAGTCTTATTAGATAAAGGCAAAATATAACACCATTTTTTAAATTTTAAGTGATTAAAATGTGTAGAAATGTATTAAAAATACTATAAAATTTATAGAATGGAATATAGTTAATTCAAACGTTTGTTCTTGTGTCGTTTTGCACCTGTTTCTGCTTCTTAGCAACTTTGATTTTGTGGTATTGCAGCCATGATCTGGGGCAACACCAGCAACCCATGCAGCTGTCCTGACAATAGTAGGACATGTTTCCCTCATTGCCCATTTCTACACTACTGGCGATGTCCGCTACAGGCGAACAGTTATGGTTAGCGTGAGTGTGGAATGTAGCCTCCTGCCTATGCTGTCAAAACATGCTTAGTGATTCAAACAGGTTACCGTGATTTAACAAAACAAGACATGTTTCCTCATTACTTTATTCAGATCATAACAGTGGTAATATCTTCATAAGCACAATATATAACATACTGATAGGCATCAGGATATTTTTTAATGTACAAACATGTGATTAAGTATATTAATGGCTAAGACACAATCATATTACTGCAGATGAAGGAGCTTGCTCCTGAGGTGTTGTAACACAACAGCGTGGAACGAACAGGTTCCCACCATTTTAGACTCGTAACATTAAATACATTGACAGCATCAAAGAATGATTCTTCGATTTGGAATTGACTTTGCTTGCGGAGGTAAGGTTATGTAATCATTTGATCTCTGGGTCCTGGATTCATATCTTGCCTCCTATCGGGGCATTGGGATTTAAAGTGTCCTGCCTATCCTGTCAAGCCGTTCATGGGTTCCTAATCTTAAATCAAACCTTTTTCTCAAGTTTTGTTCCTTCATTGCTATGGTAACAGCCTCAGCCCACATGTTTGGTATATTCCAACTAACTCAGGTGGTTGTTCAGGAGCTGAATCTTGAGGGATGCAATACGAGCATCAATTTCTCCGTATTTCCTTCTTCATGAGGATGCTGTCCACTGGTGAGATAGTCTCAGGACTGCAACCTGCCGTGGACCTCTTTGAACATTTTAATACCCCACTCTGTCACCTGGCTTTCCACAACAGATAGAACTTTGAGGGCTCTGCATTTTATGTAGAAGGCTAGTTCATCAAGTAATTGTAAGATTTGCATACGGTGCATACAAGGCAGTCAGCTTTGTTGCAGACCCAATAATACAAGCAGGTCCATCTACATTAACATAAATACCATCTGTGTCAAGAATAAGTAGGGCTGGTGCATGGTCAACAAAGTCCAAGATATTCAAAACATGTAAATGACCGGATAGCTGTAACACAACATGTTTCGCTGATTCAGGAAGATGTTTTATTCAAGACTAGAGTATTGAAGACGAGAGTACAGCTAACTGGATTGGCCCTGGTTCTGGCTGTGGCTCTGGCTCGGTTCCCTTTCTGCTGTGTACAATCATAGATCTAATTATCAGTACAATACATATGCACCACAGTCAGTATCTTCGTATCAAGGTTATGGCGGTACACAGGTGTATCAGCAGTGCCGATCACCATACTGATTTTTATGTACCCTTGTTGACTATTATGTACACTTATGGAGAAATCTCTCTCCCAAGGATTGAGGCGTCAAAAAGGTCCTTTAACTTGAGTGGACCCACTCCACTTCTTAATTGGAATATCAGTCCCTCGATATTCCTCTGCAGAATGGGGATCCATGCCACACACTGGTTGCACTGTGGTGGCCCCCCAACTTATTTACACATACCTGTCCCTCATCACTCTCCAAGGAACACAGTTGCACCGTCAGATGAAACACTTCCTGGCCTTTTCCGGACACCTTGTCCCTTTTCACTCGAACGCTGGATAGAGGCGACGCACTGTATGGCTCACAGTTTCAGCTTCCTCGTCCTTGGATGGTGTAGAGGGAATTCCCCCTCTGTGGTCAATATCCTTGCCCTCCGGCTCTGCTGTCGCCACCCGGTGTCCCGTGACCACTCCTGTGTTTCTAGACGTAGAGGCGCAGAACCACCACCGTGTCTGAAGGTAGAAACTTCTCCTCCCGAATTAATTGGCACCATCTTGTAACTAGGGGTGCCCCTGGTATCTCTCCAACCTCTCAATCTCTGGGTTAACCATCTCTCAAACCTTTTGTATCCTAGGACTATCCCTATGGTACTAACCGTAATTACTATTGCCAATATGGCATACAGCCATTTTGATTTCCTATCTTCTATGACCTGATTCTGCATACCCCTGAGTTCATTTACTAACTGGTCCATTGATATCGTTTGGAGGTCTTTCAGCTGATGAGGCAATTTCGTTGCATTCGTCTTACTAAGGGCGGAATGAACAGGTTCCCAAAATTTTAAACTTGTAACATTAAATACCTTTACAGCATCAAAGAAGGATTCTTCGATGTTGAACTGACTCTGCTTCTGGTAATGTGGAGGTAAGGTTATGTGATCATTCGAGGCGTAACAACCCATATTAAGCCTGACTATGTCTAATAGCGGTTCAACAATGACCGTCGAGGCTACCGCTGCATTATCATGGCAGATCACAGAGAAGATTAGTTTTATCATTGTCGTTACCACCCATATGCCATCCGACAGATATTCTGCTAAGGGTAAGATGGAATTTAACCTGATAATGGCCTTGCATTTGTCTTCAAAGTCAACCTTTCTGTTCACGAATAAAGTAGTTACACACAGCTTACTTAGGTTTATAGGATAAACAGGACTTTTAATAGAACAGTAACCAGTTACCGGCTTAGTGCATACTTCTAATTCCTCTGAGGTAAGTAATACGAGTTTGGTTCGCTCAACATTTACCGCAAGCGATTATAGCCACTAATTCCAATGGCCCACATTTGAATCTTCCTGTTCTACATTGGAGATTCTAGCAGATACTTGAGTGGTTTGTGGTCAGTTCTAATGATGAATTCTGTATTGTGTAAGTAGTGGTCTAGCTTCTGTAATGCAAAATGAATAGCATAAGCTTCCTTTTCTATTGTGGACCACTTAGCCTGGGAATCACTTAGTTTATGGGACAAAAAGTAGATTGGTTTTTCATTGCGAATACCTGGGAGGAAATCTGTATCCTCGTCGCAGGTCTGAGTCAGACACGCTCTAACACGTGTCACTAGCATCTGTGTATAACACATATGGCTTGTTAGTGTCAGGGTATGCCAACAATCAGACAACCGTCAGGCTGTCTTTCAAGAAGTCAAACGCTTCTTGACACTCTGTCAACCATTTGAACTTGGCATACGCTATTATGAATTCAGCTACTTTCGAAAAATTTGGTATGAACCTCCTGTAATAGCTGCACATTCCCATCAAGC